CGAATATATTGTTTTTCTGACCACTGTTAATTTTGACATCACATTTTGATTTAGTTTTTAGTCAGTCTTGACTAAAATGACATTTTAGTCATTGAATTGAAAGTGAATTTTACATTTTTTTTTTTTGTTTGTTTCATTTTTGTCACTGAAACCACGCAGCTGACGAAAATATTTTCGTCGAGGGAATTAACATGGTTTCCAGCAAGAATGTTTGTTCAACAGAAGACAACCTAACAGCTGGAGTCTGTCAGCCAAGCAGCACCATTGGCTAACTTTCAGGACTTGTGTACTGGGGCTTATTCACATGGGTAGCAAAGGGCCAATGAAATAACAGGTGGCTGATGTGTGTTTTTATCGCCTACCTACAAAATAATATTGGGAATTGGGAGGAGCTTAGGTCCATTCACAATGCTGTGGCCTAGCAAAATTTAACTTGGCATGTCACATCTGCCAAGTGCTGCGGCTTGCCAGATGTGACCATGGTGTGTGCCAAGTGGTTGGCAAGCAGTTATGTGGTCCATTGACTTCAATGTAGTATTGCAATGCAATATCCCCCTTGCGATTAATCAGGAGGTAGCAATATCTCATCCTGAACACCTGTAAACCCCATTGCTCAACAGTCTTATGAAAGGCAATCCACCACCAATTACTTTTGGGGGGGGGGGGGGGGGGGGCTGGTAACAAGAACCTGGGGAAACCAGGCCTAAGCCAGTAGTAATAAGAGCTGACACCAAGCACATTCGACAAATGCCTTGTGTAACAATCTCCTCCATTCCAGTGGCACTTGGACTACAGTCCCAAAGCGTCAGCAAAGTGATCTGCCATGAGGGTTGCACAGCATGTGTTTGAACCAATACCTTCTTATTTTATGGTCGAAGCCTGGCAAGTACATGGTACAGTTTTAAGCCTTTAGTGGCCATATATCAAGCCAAGATCTAGCAGGCTTGACAAAAAGGGTCAGTGAGGCTTGGAAATGCTGCCCAAGTTTCTGTTGGAGGATTTTAAATTTTATGCCAAAAGAAATCGAGCTGTTGGTTAAAATAGATGCTATACAAGCTCCAAATCACTTGGGAACACCATAAAAGTTAGTGGAGTCACTTCCTTGGATTACATTGCCTTTGTGTAAAGGGTCTGTGCTAAACAATCCTTCAGGCAAGTGGCTACTTTCAGATCTTGAGCTGCAATGACCAATCCCTGATTATTTTCAACTACCAACCGCTCTTAGATCCATCCAAAGTGACTGGATCTTAGTGCTTGGTTATTCCACATTTGCAACTAGATGCTTGAAAGACAGTCCTGTACTTACCCCTTTCCAAAGCTAGTAATTCAGGTAAATCTGGCTCCTCTGGTGGGGGAGGTGGTAAATCTGGCTCCTCAGGCAAGGGGGGTGGAGGAATGTTGGGGAACCCGTTTGGGGAAAGGCTCCCCCTTGGCTTGTCTTCGTTCCCTTTCTCTCTCTGGAGGTGAAAAGATGAGTTGGGGTGGATGAAGGGGGGTGGAATGTACACAGAGGAGGATGGAGAAAGTAAAGTGGTAGCTGGCTCAGGGAGAGGGGGACCATCAGTGCCGTCAGGGTCTTGTAAATTATAATGAATGAGTTCAGATGTTCCTAATTGCCACTAAGCCTTGTGTCCTGTTTACAACCCTCTAAGGAAGTAAAAAAAAAGTCCTGGATAGTTTTCTAGATACACAGAATATAACTGGATATAACATTTATAGGTGAAGTTGATCCAGGGAATATCCGATTGCCTCTCGGGGGATCAGGTAGGAATTTTTTTCCCCTGCAGGAGCAAATTGGATCATGCTTTGCTGGGGGGTTTTTTTGGTCTTCCTCTGGATCAACTGTGGGTGTAGGATTATAACTTTTTTTTGGTTGAACTGGATGGACTTTTGTCAGCCAAACTAACTGAAGTATATAGGTCAGTAGTAGAGCACACTAGAAGTGTACACATTCTCCACTACAGCCATGAGACACTATGCTGGATTATGTGTATGTTTGGGCAAAATAAAATATTTCTGCAGTACATGCATACTTCCCATGTTTATCCCTTTTATATTCTTGCAGCCATTTTAAACATAGCTGCTGGTTGGCAGAATAAACTCTGCTCCTGCCTTCATTTGACAACAGTGCCTCGGCCATATAAACAGCCCAATCTGGGTTATTAGCCCTGCCTAGTTCTGGCCTACAGACCATCTTCTGCTCTCCACATCTCCATCACATAACGGGGAGGTGTTCTGTAATCCAGCAGGGGAGAACTGAGGCATGGCTAATGACACGGTTTGGACTTCTAGTGCAGTAGAGGCAGGGTGGTGTTGGCTCACTACAGAAAATTAGGAGCTTGCTGGATTTTTGGCAGATCAATGGTGATTTTTCTGTATGTGGAGGGTCTTTAAAAGGCATACACAAAGAGCTGTATCCATGTTAATTTTGACCAAACCTACACTTTGGGCCTCTGGTTGCAGTTGCCAAACAGTGGATCCATAAAACTAAACTCTCTTTCCTGCTCTCCCAGCCAATGGCCTTTATAGGACACGATGGTGTGAATATTCATTGTTGGTGTCAGCTAATCTAGGGTGGTAGATTAGACCACCTGACCTGGCTTTGACTATGTGATCTTCTTCCAACAAAGGCACTTTATCCGTACATTGTTAGTGCTCAGCCTTTTACTACTGAACCCTGTATTTACAATATGATTCTCTTGTGGCCTATGACAGCTGTACACTGCATTTTATAGAGAATTACAGGATTGTAACAGAATGCTGGCACTGATGGAATAGGATAGACCAGGAATAAAAATGTGAGAAGGCAACAGCACAAAAAAAAAAAAAAAAAGGAATATGGAAAATATTGGAACTGAATATGCAAAGAGTGGCTGTGTCCTAGAAGGAAAGTATAGGGCCTTTTATATGCAGAGATGTGCGCCTCAAAACTTGGAGTTCATGTAGAAGGGAGTGCAGTAAACCAAGCCCACTAAAGCCATAGGGGGGAGATTTACTAAAACTGGTACACTCAAAGCACAGCTGTTCCAGATTTCAACTTCTTCAATGAAGCTTTGACCCTGGAAGTGGATTTGTGTCCATGCAGAACTACACCAGATTTTGTACCATAAAGTTTTAGTAAATAACCCCCATAATAAGGCCAATGAACTTTAAAGTGCAGCCACTACGGTCCTGCACATTTGCACGTCAGATATGGGGGTACATATAAAAGACCATGATTTTTCCCTCTAGCATTACAGCTTTGAGGAAAGGAGGAAACAAAAGGTGAATTTGGTGAGAGAGAAAGGCAACATTTCTGTGAGACTGGCTGAGGCAGAGTGGAGCCCAGGAATTGTTTTGCAGATGGGAGAAAAAAGGTGCACAGACTGGAGTGGAAACCAAACAGTTCTGCATAGTAGGGAAAAAAGTGAATGCAGAGAGATTGGAGGCCCAGCAATGAGGCCTACCGACAGAGTAAAGCAGTTCTCCTGTAAGGGACACATAATGGAAAGTACTGAGAGTAGACCAGTATTTGTGGCTAGGAGGAGTGAACAGATTAGTTTTGGTTCTGCAGAAAAAGGGTGAAGTAAAAAAAAAAAAAAAGCCAGGTTCTGCTCAACACAGCTAGAGAGAAGTACAAGCGGTTATTAAAAATCATCAGCACACACAATGTACAAAACGGGTTAGTCATACAGTGAGAGGACTGCAGGGAGAAGTCCATGGCTGCTGCCCTTCTAGTTTTATAGGAAATCACATCTACTTCCAGCTATAGGATACTTGAAGGGACAGGGCTGATAACAAGTCTTTTTGACTGTAGTCAATCTGAGAGGCTTTCTGCACTGCTCCTGACAACCTTACTGCATAACCTGGACCCAGAGTATCAAAAAGGGCAAGAAAGGCGTATTCCCACATCAAATTAGCATTGTAATACATGCAATAAAAGCATTAATGGCAAACAAGAGTTCAAAATTTAATAGCCGTGCTTGCTGGTATTTTTGCAAGATACCAGCTTGGCACACCCTGTCTATCCTCAAAACAGAGACTGCAAGTGAATGCCCCCCTGCTGTGATGACACTTCCAATTACATGAGGAAAGAGGTTCAAACAGGGATTAGGACACAGAAAATGCTACCCCAATTCCCCAGCCTTCTACACTAGTGCTGTGGTGGACGACTATGAGTAAGTACCAGCCCCTCATTTCCATACAATACAAAAACAATATTTCCTAATGAAGGTTTCTAAATGGAAACTAAAAAGTAATCTCTTTTCCACCACTTTTTTTTGCAAAAGGTATGGGTGGTCTTTGCTAGATGGGAATTTTCCCACTGAAGATGAGAACTGGGAAAAGAGTGAGAAGATAGAAGGGCCTCAAGATTTAATTCTTTAAAAAAAAAAAAAACCTGACTTCAGCTTTATAGAAACTTAAGCCTCCAACACTGACTTTCCTCAAGTACGGGATCCTCTCTAGACTATCAAACAACCTAGACTGTCCACACATCTTTCAGGTACTGGTGTGGAAGAGATTAGTACCTGTTCATTGGGATTGCTGCCAGTGGGTTGTGGAAAGGTCCATGTTGGCTGCCCAGGGACAACCACCCTCCTACTGCTGAAAAAACATGGGTAATATAGCATAGATACAGGATTCTTGGCCGCCTTGGAAAAGGAGGAGACCAAAGGGCAACACCTCCGCAATGGTTTTACATGGCGATACCAAAACCTTAAATGGATGCCATATCCTTAATAACAGCATGGAAGGGGAGATCATATCATAGGACAGGGGTCTCCAAACTATGGACCTCCAGGTGTTGAGGAACTGCAAGTCGCATGAGGTCTTGCAAGACTCTGACAGCCACAGGCAAGACTGTCAGAGGCATGATGGGACTTTTAGTACTTCAACAGGTGGAGAGCCATAGTTTGGAGACCCATCATAGGATCTCTGCCTATGTTCACATGACAAAGGGAGCAGCAATGGACATTCTCACTCTGCAGCTGGCTGGTGGGGGAAGGAAGGATGCACATTACCTTTTTGTTCCCTCCCCAGGTGTATGAGTAATATTGTCCAGGGAGCCAATCTTAGACTGGATCCTCTCCTTAAAATCCAGCTTCTCTGATTTCACCTCGATGTTGCCTCCACCTGTAACGAGAGAAAGCCAAGTGCCAAGTGATGAATAAACTGTGGGAAATGCTTCTGAAGGTCTAGCTCAGTGATGGCGAACCTTTTAGAGACCGAATGCCCAAACTGCAATCCAAAACCCACTTATTCATCGCAAAGCTCCACTGACCACCGGCACAAGGGGGGGGGGGGGGGGCAAAGCTCCACTGGCACAAGGGGGGGGGGGGGGGGCAAAGCTCCATGACCACCGGCACAAGGGGGGGGCAAAGCTCCACTGGCACAAGGGGGGGGGGGGGGGGCAAAGCTCCACTGACCGCCGGCACAAGGGGGGGGGCAAAGCTCCACTGACCGCCGGCACAAGGGGGGGGGGGGGGCAAAGCTCCACTGACCGCCGGCACAAGGGGGGGGGGGGGGGCAAAGCTCCACTGACCGCCGGCACAAGGGGGGGGGGGGGGGGGGGGCAAAGCTCCACTGACCGCCGGCACAAGGGGGGGGGGGGGGGCAAAGCTCCACTGACCGCCGGCACCGGGGGGGGGGGGGGGGCAAAGCTCCACTGACCGCCGGCACAAGGGGGGGGGGGGGGGCAAAGCTCCACTGACCGACGGCACAAGGGGGGGGGGGGGGCAAAGCTCCACTGACCGCCGGCACAAGGGGGGGGGGGGGGGGGGGGGGGGCAAAGCTCCACTGACCGCCGGCACAAGGGGGGGGGGGGGGGGGGCAAAGCTCCACTGACCGCCGGCACAAGGGGGGGGGGGGGGGGGGGGGCAAAGCTCCACTGACCGCCGGCACAAGGGGGGGGGGGGGGGGGGCAAAGCTCCACTGACCGCCGGCACAAGGGGGGGGGGGGGGCAAAGCTCCACTGACCGCCGGCACAAGGGGGGGGGCAAAGCTCCACTGACCGCCGGCACCCAGGGGGGGGGGCAAAGCTCCACTGACCACCGGCACAAGGGGGGGGGGGGGCAAAGCTCCACTGGCACAAGGGGGGGGGGGCAAAGCTCCACTGGCACAAGGGGGGGGGGGGAAGGCAAAGCTGCACTGACCACCGGCACAAGGGGGGGGGGGGGGGGCAAAGCTCCACTGACCACCGGCACAAGGGGGGCAAAGCTCCACTGACCACCGGCACAAGGGGGGGGGGGGGGGCAAAGCTTCACTGACCACCAGCGCAAGCTTAAATCTAGCGTTAATAAAAATGAATGTATTAAAACTCACAGCCAGCCCAATATATATATCCTTTGCAGCGCACTGACCGGCCATGCGAAAGCTCGGACGAGGCGCGGCTAATGAGTTTCGACTTGTGATGTCATCACCTGGCACCGCTACTCCTTTTCGAGCATGCGCACGATGCCCATGTGTACTGTAATCTGATGCTCAGCTGCTGGGGCGACTTGGCTCGCATGCCGACAGAGAGGGCTCTGCGTGACCGCTGCGGCACGTGTGCCATAGGTTTGCCATCACTGGTCTAGATAATTAGCATTGTCACTTCAATTGTGAAGTCTACAACAGAAATGTGATGGTTTAAGGCAGGCCATACATTAAGCAATTTGGTTTCCTTTAACCATGGGGTTGAAGGAAGAAAAGTTGCTTGATTCCCCATCAACACAGTCGTTCACTTTCCATAAGATTTGAGTGAGTTTTTATCCCAGTGGTACAAGTATGGCCCATTTTAGGTCTATAAGAAGAGGAGACAGCATTTACAGTTGCAAGAAAAAGTATGTGAACCCCTTGGGATTACGTGAAGTTTTGCATGAATTGGGTATAAAATGTGCTCTGAACGTCATCTAAGTCACAACAATAAAAGAACACAGTCTGCTGAAACATAATACTACACAAACATTAGATGTTGCCATGGTTTAATTGCACATAACATGTAAACATTCACAGCGCAGGGAGGAAAAAGTATGTGAGGCCCTAGCTTAATGACTTCTCCCAAAGCTAATTGGAGCCAGGAGTGAGCCAACCTTGACACCAATCAGTGTGATGATATTGGATGTGTTGCTGACAGCTGTCCTGCCCTTAAAAAACACACACCTGTTTTGGGTTTACTGGTTTCAAGAAGCACTGTCTGATGTGAACCATGCCTCGCAGAAAAGAGCTCTCAGAAGACCTACGATCAAGAATTGTTGACTTGCATGAAGCTGGAAAGGGTTACAAAAGTATCTCCAAAAGCCTTGATGTTCATGTGTCCACGGTAAGACAGACTGTCTACAAATGGAGAAAGTTTAGCACTGTTGCTACTCTCCCTAGGCGTGGTCGTCCTGTAAAAATGACTGCAAGAGCACAGCGCAGAATGCTGCATGAGGTAAAGAAGAATCCCAGAGTGTCAGCTAAAGACCTACAGAAATCTCTGGCACATGCTAACATTTTTGTTGACACATCTACAATAAGGAAAACATTAAACAAGAATGGAGTACATGGGAGGACACCACGGAGGAAGCCATTGCTGTCCAAAAAGAATATTGCAGCACGTTTGAAGTTTGCAAAAGAGCACCTGGATGTTCCACAGCACTACTGGCAAAATATACTGTGGACAGATGAAACCAAGATTGAGTTGTTTGGGAAGAACAAACAACACTATGTGTGGAGAAAAAAAGGCACAGCACACCAACATCAAAACCTCATCCCCACTGTGAAACATGGCGGAGGGAGCATCATGGTTTGGGGCTGCGTTGCTGCCTCAGGGTCTGGACGTTGTTGTCATTGATGGGAAAATGAATTCCAGAGTTTATCAAGACATTTTGCAGGAAAACGTACGACCATCTGTCTGCCAACTGAAGCTCCGCAGAGGATGGGTGATGGAACAGGACAATGACCCAAAGCATACAAGTAATTCAACAAAACAATGGCTGCAACAGCACAGAATACGCCTTCCGGAGTGGCCCAGTCAGAATCCTGACCTCAACCTGATTGAAATGCTGTGGCATGACCTTAAGAGAGCGATTCACACCAGACACCCCAAGAATATTGCTACACTGAAACAGTTTTGTGAAGAGGAGTGGTCCAAAATGACTCCAGATCATTGTGCAGGTCTGATCTGCAACTACAGGAAACGTTTGGTTGAGGTTATTGCTGCCAAAGGAGGGTCAACCAGTTATTAAGTCCAAAGGTTCACATACTTTTTCCTCCCTGCACTGTGAATGTTTACATGTTATGTGCAATTAAACCATGGCAACATCTAATGTTTGTGTAGTATTATGTTCAGCAGACTGAGACTGTGTTCTTCTATTGTTGTGACTTAGATGACGTTCAGAGCACATTTTATGCCCAATTCATGCAAAACTCCACGTAATCCCAAGGGGTTCACATACTTTTTCTTGCAACTGTACAAGCCTTCTGCAGTTCTAACCCTTCCTCATTCTATCCAAATCTTAAAAAAAAAAAAAAAAAAAATTGGGCTGGCATTCAACTTTTAATAACTGGAAAATACTAGTAAATAAGACAGCAGTACCTGGCTTGTGATGGATATTTCCCATAGAGCCACACTTGGAGGTAACATGTTTGAGATCAACTGGTTTGTGCGTGATCTGCACCTGAGGATTGGAAAGAGACAATATTAGTGCTGGAAAGAAAAAAAAAAAACAAATGTCAGTAGTTACTCAAGAATTTAGTGACCGATCCAGCATCCAAGTGCATCTGCCACCTAAACACAGAAAGCAGCCATTCTGAACCCAGTAGAAGTGGTGTAAACGAAGGATCCCCAGTCACCTCCAGAGATTTAGTCATGGATCCAGCCCATGTAATGGCGACATGCATACGTGAGTAGGTCACAGGTGCATTTACAGGGAAAATAAGCAATAAAATCAAAGTTATAGAATTAGGGATTAGAGAGTCCATTATAGCTTGGTTAGAGAAAGCAGCTGTAAAATCTAATGCCTGTCACTTGAAATGTTCACTTTAGGTGGAAACCTCCTCTTGACTTGGATGATGATCCCTGTATTGCAGCCATACTGCGGGATCTTTCATCTTATTCACACGGAAACAATTCATATCAGGGGCGGACTGACCATTTAGCCACTCGGGCAATGCCCGAGGTCAGTATGGGGCCCCATGAGATGCCCTTGGTACCTTTCATAGGCTTTTTTTGGGTGTGGTTTGAGTGTGGGCAAGGACACAGGGGCCCCATGATTTCCTATTGCCCGGGGGCCCCATGAGTCGTCAGTCCGCCCCTGATTCATATATAATAAGAGCATTTTATAAGGTATGCTGCAATACCAGATTTTATCAGCAGATGTCACCACAGTTTACATCTGCAATGGCAGCTCCTGCTCTGGGCAAAACATGTGGAGGTGTCCACTCTATTACTTCTGCAATAGGATCTCCTAACAGGCTGTGAAGCTTTGCCAAAATTAGAGAGCCTTCAATAGAGGAATAATGAGCCTCAAAATGGTCTCTTCCTACAAGAACAGGCTTTGCTAGAAACCGTGGACTTCACTAACACAAAAAGAAAAAACAAGAGAGCCCATTAAACCAGGGGTGTCAAAATGGCGGCCCTCCAGCTGTCGCCAGACTACAAGTCCCATCATGCCTCTGCCTTTGGGAGTCATGCTTGTAACTATCAGAGGCATGATGGGAGTTGTAGTTTGCCGACAGCTGGAGGGTCGCCAGTTTGACACAATTGAACTATTTCATAGAAAGGAGGACAGCTAAAGGGATAGCAGCGCAATGGAAAAAAAAAAAAATTGTCTAGGAGGGCATGTGAGACAAAGTCACCCCCAATGACCTCCATCTTTCTAGCTTGCCTTCCAGCAAAGCCTGCAAATGATGAAATAAAGTACAACGCAGAACACCGCTGCATCTCGTGCAGATAAAAGCATGATTGTGTTCTGAAGACAGCACCATTCTACAAAATGTGTTGCTCATATAGACAATGTTGTTTTTAAATGGAATAGAGATATATATTTTATATCGTTGTATAAATAGTGTTTGTTCCATTTTGCTTTTAATTGCTTTCTCTACACTGTAAACCATATGCACCATTACATGCAATGCAGCATACAGAAATATTGGTTATTCCAAGACACTTGTTAATCTTGTGAAGTATAATCTCTGCTCTCAGTAGGAAGCTATTACAGAGTCAGTGCTACGTGCAGGCAGCCAGAATGAGAGAAATCAAAGTGCAGCAAACAAGCAGAAGGGACGCCATGATGGCGGCTGGTGACGGCTGATTGGTGGTGCTCAGTGTATCTGTACGGAGAGTGTGTGTCACTCACTGCTCCTCCCCCAGGGACATGCTTCAGGTTGTCCTTGGATCCGCACTTGGACTGAATAGTACTGACATCAACTTTCTTGTGGACAATCTGCACCTGCGGGAGGAACGAGGTAGGCGCAGGTGGTAAAACAGCAGAAAAAAAAAAAAAACGGGCAGCAGATGGCATGAAGCGGGCAAGAGTGAATGGAGTGACGCAGAGAAAGTGGAAATGTAGCATGTAGCAATCAGATGAAATGGCAGGAAGAGAAGGTGGACAACGAAAATATGGCAATCAGTATGTTGTCTTTTTACAAAGTTGCTTCCCTCCACCCTAGTTGTCTTTTTTCATCTTCTGAAAATGTCCAATATAGATTACTGTCCAAGCATTAAATGAGTACTACAACCATTGTACTGGTGAACACTAGCACTACAAGGGTGGCCAATGCGACTGACGTTCCACTGGGCATGGGCATCAGCCCATGTAGCCTGACCACCACTCCGGGAAGAAGAGTTAGCAAAAAAAAAGAAAATCCAATTTGTGTATGTGGAAAAGGAAAGTATGGAACACAAAGCAAATCACGTGCTTTGGTAAAGAAAAAACTAGTGGTGCAACCGAAATGAAAATGCTGGTGCCGAAAACGAAAATTCAAAATGCACTTGGCAGAAAACCGAAACCGAAATGCAGTTTTTAAAAATTAATATTTTTTTTTTGGAAAAAAATACACTTTGATTAAAAAAAACAATATATACCCCAATTTGTTTGTAAAATATGAAAGAGGATGTTTCAGCGATTAAATAGATACCCAACATGTCACACTTTAAAATTGCGCACACTCGTGGAATGGCGTGAAACTGCGGTACTTAAAAATCTCCATGGGTGATGCTTTAAAAAGTTCTACAGGTTAGCAGTGTAAAGTTAGAGGTCTAGTGTGAGAATTATTGCTCTTGCTCTGACGTTTGTGGCGATACCTTACGTGTGTGGTTTGAACAGCATTTACATATGTGGACATGGCCTATGTATGTGTTCACCACTATGTGCGAGGACGAGGTACTTTAAACTTTTTTTTTTTAAAATGTATTTAATGCTTTTTTGTTTTTGATTTTTTTTTTGCACTGTCCCTTTAAAAAAAAATTTTTATTCTTATCACAAGAAATGCATGCATCCCTTGTGATAGAACCAATTAGTGACAGGTCCTCTTTATGGAGAGATATGGGGTCAATAAGACCGCACATCTCTCCCCTGCAATGTAAAGCATTGGACCAAAAAAAGCATTGATCTAGTGCTTTAAAAAAATTTAATTAAAAAACGGTTGGAACGGAAAGTGACATCGCTCTGGTCCTCCAAGGGCATAGAGATGAGAGACGGCCATCTTTCCTTCACTCATCTCTATGCCCAGCGCCCAGATCAGTGGTTGCTCAGGTAAGGCTGAGAACTACCGAGCGGTGGCGGGCGAGGGGCGACAGTGGGCGGGCGGCAGCGGCAAGGTATTTTTGGACACCTGTATCGGTGCTTTTTTTAATTTCATATAAATCCTGTATAATAATAATAATTTCAGCCAATGGCCAAAAGGGGTGTTTTTGCCCGAAACGTTTCGGCCACCGAAATTTCGGTGCATCCCTAGAAAAAAAAAAAAACGATACACAGCTGTCTGAAATGCCTACAAGTCAGCCTTTCCTGAAAGACTGATGGAGGCTGCCATTCCTGAACTCTTTCTGAAATTACTAGTAACCCTAGGGTGCTACGCTGACTGAATTCCAATTTAACTTTTCCCTCTCCCCTCCTAACACCTATACTAACTAGCCTGTGGAAGGAAGATCTGTACACTTGCCTTATTGTCAGGCCATTCTGGTCTGGCCATGTGATCTCCCCTGAGTCTGCCAGCCCCAGCTACAGGGGAGAGGAAAGAGCGCTCGACAATGGCTGGAATTCCTGAGACATCACCCATAGGTTTACTATGGCCCATCCATTGTCGGCTTTTTCTGCTCTCCGCTGAAGCTGCAACTAGCTGACACAGGAGAGTGAATCGTGTGATCGTACCAGAGCAGCCTGAAAATAGGGTAGCATACAGATATTTCTAAGTATGGGTGTTAGGAGTGGGGTGGGAGCCGTTTTAAGATGAATTCTGTAGATCTCAGAATACTGCTGAAAGGCACTGACCTGAAAACCATAGGCATCCAAGAATGTCATGACACCCTTATCTGCATACTTGTTCTGGGTCGGTGAAGTATGGAAGCATGGCAGCCAGGCAAAAAAAAATATATTTAAAGAATAAGAAGTCAACAATAGCAGCCTCCATTTCTAACAGGAAAGGTTTCCCTTTAAGGGGATGTCTGGCCATAACAGCATTAGATCTCTGCAATACATGGACAGTTCTATATTTGCAATGGATGAAACTTCTGGAAAATTCCTCTGTATGTCCTAGAAATCCAGTGAGCTTCTAACTTCTTATAGTGAGCTTCCTATGCTGCCCTGAAATTCCAAGAAGTGTTGTCAGCCTTGCTTGTGTTCCCCTGCTGGTCTACTCCCCCTCTTCTCATCTCCACAACATGGGGTGGGAGAAGGTGTTGTGTGGTCCAGCAGAAGACAACTAGACAGGGCTGACAACACGACTTGGGATTTCACGGTCAGCTCACTATGTAAATTAGGAGCGCACTGGATGACTTTTAGATCAACAAGTGTTTTTAGAAGAGGAGTGGGGAATTGTTCATGTATTGCAAGTTAGTAACTTGCCTGACAAGAACAAAGACAAGCTACAACTGTAAGCAGGACACAAATATTCCTGTGTGGTTCTGTCCCTGTCCAAAGAATGATACTTTCCACAGGGACATTCGTTTGGTTGCAGAGGGCCTGGGCAATATTTGCCATCCTTGCATGATCACTCCAATACCAGGAGCTGCTGCTATTTGTACCTAGTATGGCACAAGGATGGAACCTTTGATCCCAGATTGTTCTACAAAGAACATGGAAGGGTGAGCCGTGCTTGCACAGGAGGTGCTTGTTATCGCACGGGGAAACCGCTGAGCCATAACAAGCTGCTCCAAAAGAAGAGGAAAACAGCTACACCCCACACACACACACACATTAAACAAAAAAACAAAACACAACCAATTCTCAAACTTGGAAACACCTACTTTGAGAATTAACAGGCTTATGCTGCTGGTATTTTCCCCCGCATATCCTATATCCCAAAGATCATCACAAAAGAGAGACTTTACTCCCTAATGACCTCAATTATCTCCAACAATTCCACCCAACCCCACTTTATTCTGCATGAAATGTTCATCAAGAGACACCTGACAATGTTTGGATACCTTGCCTCCTCCTGGCGTGTGCCGGATGTTATCAATGGAGCCAATCTTGGATCTAATGTTCTTCAGGTCTGGTATTGGCACTGTGCTGGGGACCGGCTGCAGACGACTCTTGGCAGAAGCAGGAGACTTAGGTGGAGTACGCACAATGGCAACCTTTTTGGGTTCCCGGCTGGATGGCAGCTGTGATGAAGATGTGCGGGAACGACCTGTGGGAGTGCTAGGAGATCCGGGGCTGCTGTATCCGCTTCTGTCGCCAGACGAGTCAGCTGGAGCAAAATTGGATGTTTTTATTACAGCTTATGACATTTTGAAATAACTACATTTCAGAATTATATAGCATTGTCCTGCCACATTCCCCAGCCATGTAGAAGTGATCAGGGTGGCTTTAGAGTTGCCTGAATCATTTCTACTGCATAGCTGGGAGAAAAAAAGGTAATAAAATTCCTGGCTGCTATAATGGCTGGCTGGAAACTGATAGAAGTTACAAGACTGCTCTAATTGCTGATGAGAAAACGTATTTAGCAGTTTTTATATTTACTGAAATAATTGCATTTCCATGTTGTGTGTACTGTGAGAGACCAGATATAGTAAATGCAGGGTCCAGGAATACCAGATATAGTGAATGCGGGGTCCAGGGAGACCAGATATAGTGAATGCGGGGTCCGGGGGTAGACCAGATATAGTGAATGCAGGGGTCCGGGGAGACCAGATATAGTGAATGCGGGGTCCCCGGGGAGACCAGATATAGTGAATGCGGGGTCCGGGGAGACCAGATATAGTGAATGCGGGGTCCGGGAGACCAGATATAGTGAATGCGGGGTCCGGGGAGACCAGGAGACCAGATATAGTGAATGCGGGGTCCGGGGAGACCAGATATATATGCGGGGGTCCGGGGAGACCAGATATAGTGAATGCGGGGTCCGGGGAGACCAGATATAGTGAATGCGGGGTCCGGGGGAGACCAGATATAGTGAATGCGGGGTCCGGGGAGACCAGATATAGTGAATGCGGGGTCCGGGGAGACCAGATATAGTGAATGCGGGGTCGGGGAGACCAGATATAGTGAATGCGGGGTCCGGGGAGACCAGATATAGTGAATGCGGGGTCCGGGGAGACCAGATATAGTGAATGCGGGGTCCGGGAGACCAGATATAGTGAATGCGGGGTCCGGGGAGACCAGATATATAGTGAATGCGGGGTCCGGGGAGACCAGATATAGTGAATGCGGGGTCCGGGGAGACCAGATATAGTGAATGCGGGGTCGGGGGGAGACCAGATATAGTGAATGCGGGGTCCGGGGAGACCAGATAGTGAATGCGGGGTCCGGGGAGACCAGATATAGTGAATGCGGGGTCCGGGGAGACCAGATATAGTGAATGCGGGGTCCGGGGAGACCAGATATAGTGAATGCGGGGTCCGGGGAGACCAGATATAGTGAAATGGGAGACCAGATATAGTGAATGCAGGTAGTGAATGCAGGGGGGTTTAGTAACACTTTAAATGCCTTTGCAGTGAAAGGTTAAGCTAACCATGTCACTTCCAAAAAATTAAAGCAGTCCCTCTAACAGAATCCAGTTAATATTGAGCTGTCTCGCTGCCCACCCCTCCAATTTTCACTTATGTCATTATAGGACATGTCATGGCATAGGGCCAGTGGAAGGAGCCCAAGCACTTAGTAGGGGACCAGGTATCAGACACTCTTCACCAACTGTTTGGAAATGGTAGAGAGTGAAGATCAGAAATTGGGCATCGGGGCAATAAAATGATATTTTACAGGCACTGCATTCATTTGATTTTCAAAAACAATAGATTGAGGCAGTAGTGAACTACTTTTATTACTATTAGGGATGGACAGAGTTAGGTTAAGCTAAGCAGTTCAATACAGTTTATACATGGAAATTGGCCAGCCTACTATTAATCTCATTATTTGGTCTTTAGATAACTGCCACTATGGACAGACAGCCACGTTAGACTCAGAAGTTACAACAGACGTGGCATGTAAGAGCCTAGGGGTGGTCACACATGTAGCAATTCATCATTTATTTAGATAGGAGCATTTGCAAACAAGCAATCCACCAGTTAAAATATCAAATGATGCAACAATTTTGGGGAGATATCTATTTCTGCATCTTGCAAATATATAACAGCTGAATGTAAATGAACTATGAAAACACATCATTTAATCAATCTGAATTACAACTGGTTTTCCTACACACACGTGAAGCGACAAAATTTCACCATGGCCAATGAACTTGGCAGTCATAATCCATTGAGAGTTCAGTAAAATTGTTGAAATGGAGGTTCTTTAAACTTGTGATTTTTATTACGTTTGATCATTTTATTAGCACAGAATGATCAATGGTCATATCAACGTGTGTGTGTGGCCACCAAAGGTGTGCTAAATCAGTGTCAATGGATGAGGAACAGTCCAAAAGGAACAGCAGTGACTGCAATACTTCATCACATTGACACCCATTCTATTAATGGCTCACCTCTCTCACCTTTTCCCACATTGGATGGCACCTTTCTCTGATCTCTTCCCATACCTGTAATCAGGATACCATTTGTCAAATTAATGTATGATCCATTGAAAACCTGTCACGGGGTGCAGGCCAAATATGATGCGAGACAAGATGTTAACCAGCAAGGACAAATGTCTAACACAGTACAACAGATACATAGTCATGAAAGCCTCTTCTAGCCAATAGACACATTTTGTGATGCCTTGATTTATAAAATTGTGGTACAAAAACTATGGAACAACTTGTACACTTATATTGTTATATTACACATTTATAGGTAAAGTTGATCCAGGGAATTTTCGATTGCGGGGGGATCAGGAAGGAATTTTTTTTCCCTGCAGGAGCAAATTGGATCATGCTTTGCTGGGTTTTTTGCCTTCCTCTGGATCAATGGTGGGTATAGGATTATAACTTTTATTTTTTAATGGTTGAACTGGATGGACTTTTGTATTTTTTCAGCCAGATTAACTATGTAACTACAATAAGTGAACATTGGCACCCGCTTAAAATACACAGACAGTTCCTATTCGAGGCACCTTGCTAAATAAGGCCCAGCCTGCCTAAACATTGACCATAAACCAACTAGGCATTCATACCAATCCAGCCTTTCCCAAAATGGATATGCAAATTCCACAGAAAAGTTCTGACAAAACAAATATCCTTTGAAGAAATCTCCAGTTCTGATAAAGTATTTATAGGCATACAGATGAACAGACAACTTTACTACTGGAGTATATGCAGAGTTTCTAGTTCTTCCATTCTATGGGAAGAACTCTTCAAGTGACTTAAAGCAGAACTCATAAACCCGTAACAACTTTATAAAAATAATGTTCTTTAACAAGGAACATACATTCCACATTAATAATGATGCTACCAAAATGAGTGTGTGCTGTAAATAGCCTCCAGCATTGCTCCGCTTCCTTCTTGCCGGAGGCTACCATTTTGCTGAAATCCAGAGCCCTTGAGCAGCAGTAAATCTTTAGGCTGTTAGCAGATCAGCCACTACAAATTCAGCACAGTGCCTAAAAATAAAGAGCAACTGAGCATGTGCAGAGCAGGGTGAGACAGTGTACTACTAGATGTTAAACAATATAGACACTTAGAGGTTTATTTTCTAAAGCTGGAGAGTCCAAAATCAGACTCCCTTCTGCATAGAAACCAATCAGCTTCCAGGTTTCATTGCCAAAGCTTCATTGAACAAGCTGAGGTTAGACGCTGATTGGTTTCTATGCAGAAGGGAGTCTGATTTTGGACTCTCCAGCTTTAGTAAATCAAACCCCTTAGTTTTAATGTTTTATATAGATATACCAGCAAAAGGGGCCAGCCTGAAGTGATCTAACAGGACTTAGTTTTCTGACTAAAGTTCCACTTTAAGAACAATGTGCAGAGACCTGTAGCAACCAATCAGAACGGATTTACTGAAGTTTGGTTAAATTGGTTGCTAGGGGTGTGCAATCTTGCACAATTCTTCTGACTATATACATTTGTAGGCACTAACAAGCTGACTTACCGCCAGGGGGGTCTTTGGGACCGCTGTGGGTGTCTTTGAAGGGATTCTGGATGTGTTGGTGGGTCCTTTGAGTACCGGCTTCCCCCCTGCACTCTCAACTCCATCCTGTTATTCATAAAATGCAGAAATTAGCAATCAATAGCAATAGAGAATGTTTGTGGAAAAGGGACACTAAAACCTGCTTTAAGAGTTCTGCCAGCTACATCCAGTGTCCTAGTGTTTCCAGTTTGTTCACATAGGGCAGGTGAGTAGGCAGACATACCCTAGGCTATTCTTGTATGCGATGTGGCACTCCTGATAGATCAGGGCTGCTCTCTGTAGCGATATTTCAAGTGCATATACAGACTACACATGCAATCGTTTACCCATGTCACTTTAGATTGGCTGGAAAGGCAAGCTACATCTATGACTGCCCAGGTGGAGGAGTATAAAATACTCTCCCACAATGACTTCTACCCCTACATGCCTTTCCATAATTCCATTTATAGTGACCATATAACTCACACTGCTCTTTCTGGATGCCGACAGCCTGTCTAAGCCCCTTATTTATACAGGCTCCTAAAGCCAGCTCCATCAAAAGTTGATATTTCAATTATGAACTACAAGGGCACCAGCAGACTAAAATATAAAGTCAGCTTAATAATTGGAGATTCCAACAACAGTTCCAGTCTGTGTTCTAGACACATGTTGCACTAGCAACTGGAGCCTCCAATTAGCCCACACTATGTAGGATCCATCCAAGGAGCCCAACACTATCATCTGCTTTTGTATTGCCTGCAACATGTTGGACCTGACAAGGAATATCGATGGGGATGAATCACTAATGAAGACCCTGAGAAATAAGTCAGCACTTGACTCAAACTGCCAGAAATGACAGATGAGAACCTGTAGGCATGGCATAAAGTAGCTTGAGTGTCATCTGCAATGGTCCCCCAAGATTCCAGTGAATACCACATTTTACGGGTAAACTGGACTCCCAAATTTACACTTGTATCAATGAAGTCTCCTCGCATGTTGATTACTGCACAAGGGCATTCCAGTGATCAAACAGAAAAGCCAGTAATAGAAGAAAAATAATGAAAGAAAAATGAAATTCAGCAGTGGAGTTAATGGAATGAAGAGGATAGCCATAGGCATATCAAGCAGTTATCAGATCTGCCATTAGCATACACTGCATCTCTGCTTACCTTTGCCCGTGAAGGGGTGCTCAGTGGGCGGTATGAGGCTGGGGATGCCCTCTGGGTAAGGCTCCTCGTGGGAGGGACTGTGGGGCTGGAAGGTTTTTTCTGGGTGGCTGTGCTAGCGGAAGGGGATCGTTTGGGGATGGTGGAACTTCGGGCTGCAGAGTGTTTGGCAAGGGATGGAGTTGAGGATGTCTTCAGAACGTAAAACATAACATTACATGAACAGAAAAATAAAATGGTGAAAATAAAAAGGCAAACCAAAGCTTTCTGTGAAGTATGAGAATGTCGATCAGGAATTAACAGCATGGGAGTAAATATTTCAATAACTGGGTTTGGCTGCTTTGCTACTTGCTGGTGACTGGAAGACACTAGCGGCAAATTGTATGGGGAAAGCAAAGAGTACCTGTGTTGTCCTAAAAAAAAAAAAAACAGGTTGCAGGGGTCATTTTTTTTTATACCCGCTGTACAATTATAACTGTATAAGGACAATCCTCCTGCGCTCAATAGGGAAATTTAATGCCTATTATTTAGCTGCTGTCACTCAACTTAAACCACCAAGTCCAATTATAAAGAAAAAAATAGTGAAGCGCTTAAATTATATAAGAGTAAAAATAAATACACTTAAAATTGTGCTAAAATATATACCATTTCCAAATGTGATAACTTAATATCATGTATATTACTACCACCCCCCAGTGGGGAAATCAGCTTGTATAATTGTATAACTCTTTCTCTCAGTGCACCATACACAGCCCAACCTTTGCAAGATATTTATTGATCTTGCAGTAACCAGGTTGTGAAAAAGGTAAACTTGGGGAGGGAAGGGGGGTAGACTATACCAGGCCAGATGCCTTCCTATTGATTAGGACAAGGGCATCTTCCCCAACATCCCCCCCAATGGTTGTGCAAGTCTGCAGGTGGGGGGCTAAGCGAAATCTGTAGTGGTTGTGGGGCTGATAAGATATTCGCCTCTTCCACTACTTGAATGAGCAACACCCCTGATCTCTCATTCACTTTAACAATAGGATATAGAATAAAAGACTCACACCCTGACAAAGTATTGTATTCGTTTTCTTTTTTTTTTTACTTACTAAAACATTATGGTCCCATGATGTCAGGCAAAGCGCCATAGCAGATCCACAACATACGCTGATCCTAACTGTGCTCTGGCCATATACGACAGTGCCATAGCTGTCATCTGAAGTAAACAAAGGGTCCTGGGAGGATCAAAGAGCAGCAGATCTGCTATGGAGGTCTGCCTGACTGCAAAAAAAATAAATAAATATAAGAAGTTTATTAAAATCTTTGTCAAGGTGTGTATCTTTCCATTTCCTTTGCTTACATAACATTTTCATACATTAAATGTGCCTTGTGTTCAAATGTATACACAATGCATTTCAATGCAACACAGTGCACATGTACGCAACAATATGTTGTGAATGATATACCTTCAGGTGTTTAGATCCGGGGAACTGATTAGACCACCCTTGGAGGTGAGGAAGAACTTTTCCTAACTTGGCAAAGGATGCTCCCTAGGCCGTATGAGTTTTAGGAGGTTTAAGTGGCATTCCCCCATTTCCGAAAAGTCTGGGGATGATTAAACTTTTGAGTAACAAACTACATCTCTTATAATCCTCTAAAAATATCCTGTATCAAAGTGCCAGATCTCACCTAGACCTCCTGCAACCTCAGGCTGCTGGTATGGAAAAGGGTTACAATTTCTGTCAGGACTTGATTTCTATCTGTGACCCCTTTAGGAAGATTTTCCCCTCTTCCTGTATCAGTGACACCCATACAAGAAATAGAATGGAGGCAGGTGTTATTGAGGCAGCAATAAAAAAAATATTGTCAGAAATCCCAACTCTTTTTTTAATTCATCTGTGTATGGGAACGTTTAGCTATTGGGGCCAATCTAGGGGTTAAAGCTCAGTCGCTGAGTGCACCTGAACTAGACAAAGCAGTACCTCACCCCCACATGCGTCATAGTGCACTTTAATTCATGTTCGACAACTTAAACAGGAAACTACCAACAAAATAAAGTACAAAGAAAAAAAATAAAAGCATGACATCAGAAAGAAAAGAGGAGCCCTGCATTTCTGGTATGGTTCTGGGTGGAGACGGCTTCACTGACAGCAACATATGTAATAGGCATCAATCTGCGTCTGGCAATTTTCAGCACTCCGGCTGTTGATGAGCCCCCAGGATACTCTGTTATAAACAGGAAGCTCTGCTTTTTGTAGGAGAGGTTCATTTCGGGAGGGGGATACAGTGACACCAGAATGAACGCTGATCATACTAATTATACATACATGGTGAGGAGATTTGGGGGGGTATGGTGAGCTGAATTACAGTTTTATTTCTGAAATTGGGGGCATTGTAAACTTTTTTTGTAAACCTTTCATGCTCTGTGCTCATTGCAGAAATGGGCAAAACCAAGTGCATGATGGTTATCCCCAACGATTCCTGGAGCTAGGACCCCCTTCATAGGGCAGAAAGAAGCTCTGCCATTTGACAGATGAATGATAGGGGGGGGTGGGACCAAATATAAAGAGACAACAGGCTTAAAGCTGTATGTATGTGCAAACCTTTTCTTCCTTGGTGTTAGATCTGGAGTGAGGAAGGGCCAGAACCCCTATCTGCTTATTGCCACCTCTCTGTTCTCTAAATGTCCTGGTGACCCGTCATCAAGACAGAAAGACATGGGAATTTCAAAATGCTAGTTGTCTCCATAACAACATTTTACAAAGGTGACGCATGTTGCAGTGACAACTGTCCAAGAGGAGAATTATTTTCACTTTGGAGAGCTGTCTTTTCTTGTTGGATCTCTGGGACAGAAGGGGTATAATTTAAAAACCACAATGGGGCGTAAACCAGAAAACAATGGATTGGCAGGATTTTAACCCTAAAGTTTTGATTCTACATACACTTTAATTTCAACTTTCAACACGGAAAGGTTTCTTCACAGTAAGAGCTGTGAAAATGTGGAATAGACTCCCTCAAGAGTTGGTTCTGGCCAGCTCAGTGAATTGCTTTAAGAAAGGCCTGGATTGTTTCCTAGATACACAGAATATAACGGGATATAACATTTATAGCTAAAGCTGATCCAGGGAATATCCGATTGCCTCCCGGGGATCAGGAAGGAATTTTTTTCCCAGCAGGTGAAAATTGGATCATGCTTTGCTGGGTTTTTTGCCTTCCTCTGGATCAACTGTGGGTATAGGATTATAACTTTTTTTTTTAATGGTTGAACTGGATGGGCGTTTGTCTTTTTTCAGCCAGACTATGTAACTTGGAAAGACAGTGAGGTCCTGTGTACAGCCTGCAGTCTATGGGACTCCATAGGTCTATATGAAAGTACCTGTTTCAGAATTAATGTCACCATTCAAATAAAAGAATTACATTTTCTATCCCCCAGACATTATAGTAGAATCATGTATATCACATACTGTATGTTCTGCATAGCTTCATGTTTATTAGAGGCTGTTTATTACACAGGCTATGAAAGGACTAAGAGCTTTGTCTCAGGAGCTACACGTGACCCGCAATGGGCCCCTATGGAATGCTGATCTTAGTGGTCAGGTGTCCCCGCCTACCTTTCCCATGTGAAGTTCTCTTCTTACCTGTCCTGCTTTTTCCTGGGAATCGCTTTCATGTTTTTCTTGATCGTGAGCTGCAAGAATCAAAATACATAAAAAGTCACTGAAGGATCCCACTTTTGTAGAAAGACTGGGAGCGATAGTGAAAAGGTACCCTGCAATTTGGAGCACAAAGCCATTTTGTGAGCAGTTCAAAAAATTGAATCCTTTTCTTGTGAAACAGTGATATCCCTGGAAATAAGCTTTCCAAAACAGATCTAGCTAAATGTTAAAGGAACTCCAGCACCATTATGTTCCTGACCACTTCAGTAAAACACAGGTAATGGTGTATGTGTATCACACACACAATGTGAGCGAAATGCAATCTTTTCTAGAAGTGCGATCTTAATACAATGTGCAGATACGTTTGACCTCATCTTGGAGGAGCAGTCACTGTGGCAGGAAATCTGACATGGATACAATCCAGTGGAAACAGAAACAAAAGCTTCTGCGCTCAGAGACCCAGATCAGAATTCAACGGGTTGAACCATATATGAAAGTTCATCCGGTGGCCGATCAATGGTTATGCAGCTCAAACACAAGGCTGGGGAAGCCCAATAACAGCTGTAATGAAAAACAAAAACAAAAAAGCGCACCAACCTTGAGCATTACCTCAGTGAGTAAAGGGTGAATTTATTGAATTAAGATCAGAGGAAGAAGGGATCACCCTTCGAAAAGCGTCAGCTTCATCCTGAGAAGAGAGCTCTGAGGAAGAAGGGATCACCCTTCGAAAAGCGTCAGCTTCATCCTGAGAAGAGAGCTCTGAGAAGAAGGGATCACCCTTCGAAAAGCGTCAGCTTCATCCTGAGAAGAGAGCTCTGAGGAAGAAGGGATCACCCTTCGAAAAGCGTCAGCTTCATCCTGAGAAGAGAGCTCTGAGGAAGAAGGGATCACCCTTCGAAAAGCGTCAGCTTCATCCTGAGAAGAGAGCTCTGAGGAAGAAGGGATCACCCTTCGAAAAGCGTCAGCTTCATCCTGAGAAGAGAGCTCGTGAGGAAGAAGGGATCACCCTTCGAAAAGCGCCAGATTCATCCTGAGAAGAGAGCTCTGAGGAAGAAGGGATCACCCTTCGAAAAGCGCCAGCTTCATCCTGAGAAGAGAGCTCTGAGGAAGAAGGGATCACCCTTCGAAAAGCGTCAGCTTCATCCTGAGAAGAGAGCTCTGAGGAAGAAGGGATCACCCTTCGAAAAGCGCCAGCTTCAACCTGAGAAGAGAGCTCTGAGGAAGAAGGGATCACCCTTCGAAAAGCGCCAGCTTCATCCTGAGAAGAGAGCTCTGAGGAAGAAGGGATCACCCTTCGAAAAGCGCCAGCCTCATCCTGAGAAGAGAGCTCTGAGGAAGAAGGGATCACCTTTCGAAAAGCGTCAGCTTCATCCTGAGAAGAGAGCTCTGAGGAAGAAGGGATCACCCTTCGAAAAGCGTCAGCTTCATCCTGAGAAGAGAGCTCTGAGGAAGAAGGGATCACCCTTCGAAAAAGCGTCAGCTTCATCCTGAGAAGAGAGCTCTGAGGAAGAAGGGATCACCCTTCGAAAAGCGTCAGCTTCATCCTGAGAAGAGAGCTCTGAGGAAGAAGGGATCACCCTTCGAAAAGCCAGCTTTCTGAGAAGAAAAGCCCTTCGAAAAGCGCCAGCTTCATCCTGAGAAGAGAGCTCTGAGGAAGAAGGGGATCACCCTTCGAAAAGCGTCAGCTTCACTGAGAAGAGAGCTCTGAGGAAGAAGGGATCACCCTTCGAAAAGCGTCAGCTTCATCCTGAGAAGAGAGCTCTGAGGAAGAAGGGATCACCCTTTCAGCTTCATCCTGAGAAGAGAGCTCTGAGGAAGAAGGGATCACCCTTCGAAAAGCGCCAGCTTCATCCTGAGAAGAGAGCTCTGAGGAAGAAGGGATCACCCTTCGAAAAGCGCCAGATTCAACCTGAGAAGAGAGCTCTGAGGAAAAGGGATCACCCTTCGAAAAGCGTCAGCTTCATCCTGAGAAGAGAGCTCTGAGGAAGAAGGGATCACCCTTCGAAAAGCGCCAAAGAAGAGAGCTCTGAGGAAGAAGGGATCACCCTTCGAAAAGCGCCAGCTTCATCCTGAGAAGAGAGCTCTGAGGAAGAAGGGATCACCCTTTGAAAAGCGCCAGCCTCATCCTGAGAAGAGAGCTCTGAGGAAGAAGGGATCACCTTTCGAAAAGCGTCAGCTTCATCCTGAGAAGAGAGCTCTGAGGAAGAAGGGATCACCCTTCGAAAAGCGTCAGCTTCTCATCCTGAGAAGAGAGCTCTGAGGAGAAGGGATCACCCTTCGAAAAGCGTCAGCCTCCTGAGAAGAGAGCTCTGAAGAAGAAGGGCACCGTGTCAGCTTGCATCCTGAGAGTTTCACCTCTGGATGGGACCCGCACGTGTTGCTATCCCAGTGCGCTATGCTTCTAATATTGCTACTTTTGTGAGTATATATCTCAATTCATTAAATTCACCCTTTACTCACTGAGGTAATGCACAAGGTTGGTGCGCTTTTGTTTTTGTTCTTCATTACATGGGTACAATCCCATCTGCCCCTGAGAACGATCAACCACCACAGTACATAAATCTCAAAGTGTTCATACAAACCACAATCAAAAGGTCTCCAAATAATGTAGAGCACATCATGGATCTCATCTACAAAAAGAAGACCTGTTGGCTACAACGGCCAATAACTGCCATATCTAGGAGTCTTTAAGGGTTTACAGAAGACAGATTTCAGATAAAAGGAATACATTTAAAGCTGAACTCCAGGCAGATGGGAAAAAAAACAAACAAACTAAAGGGTTATTAAACACTGAAGTGGAAAGGAGATGAAGTGCTGCAGCATTTACTGTAAAGCATGGATGCAGAAATCTAGGATTTCTCTTGTTCAGTCTATGCATGTATGGCTAGCCTTAAGCTGGCCATAGATGGATCGAAATTTGAGCTATGGTCCTTCTCGCTCTACAGAAGTCGATCGAACAATCAACTGTTGTTGAATGGGAATGTTGGAAAACTTCTGACTACAATGCACAGCAGGGATTTCTCCTTTCACCTTGCTTGTGTGGATGTGGGCATCCATTGTTTTTTTTTTCGTTTGGCCTGCTGGCTGAAAAAAAAAAAAAAAAAAAAAATCTATGGGCAGCTTTACTAATTTGTTTTAGATTTACTGGTCCTTTACAACACAAAACAGTCTAATAAATGAGGTCCAATGCGATTAAAAGTGCTCGTTGGCCATTCTTGCCATCGTTGCTTGGCTGGGTTGTGTAGCTTCCAACCATTCATGTCATTAATCTGCGGAGAAAAGAGCAACAGTAAGCAGAGAGATGAGCTTATCAGTCAGCTGCTGCTCCTTCATTATCTAATCAAAGGGTGGGGGTGGAAAGGTGGCCTTATTCCTTAACTGTAGTGGAAGTTACTGATCTAGCTATGCTTTCTGACACAGGACTCAATGGACAGGAATACAGAATTCTTTGCCATGTCAAACAACTTCCACGTATCTGTTTTAATTGTGTATTTAGCAGTTTTCTCGTCTATAAATGTCACTTCCTCCCTACACAGCCTGAGGACAAAGCTGCATTATCGTTGGTTCCTAATTTAATGGTGTTGGCTCCAGGCCTGACTTAAATCTTTTACTTGTCATACCGTAACACACTTTAATAAATGAGCCCCAAAAAGGTGTTGTGATGTCAAACTTAATCCGATGTACAATCAGGCTGCCCACAAAATGGCTCCCAATTCAAGCTATTTAATAAGGCATAGAGCAATTTGTGAAGTGTGCTAACCCCTGATCACCAATCAGAATACAGGTTTAATTTACCAGCATGAAGGAAAATGCGTTATGTGGTCTTTCATTCTCCACTGTTGTACTATGCACAGCCTTATTAAATATGTTCAGCAATCCACAATTATCTACAAGGATACATTTCAATGCTGCACAAATACATTACCATTTTATGTTATTAGTATCATGTTTTGTTTACTAGGATGTTAAAGTGTTGGAAGCCCAGGAGCATTCAGTCATGCAAATACTTGTTAGTCACAGGAAGATCGGACACAAAGTCAAACAGAGCCTTCTGCTCGTCTACAGTTTAATGTTCCACATTTCACCAAACCAGAATCATAATCCATCTTTCCAACTGTTTAAAGGGAAACTCAGCTAAGCACCATGTACACCCAAACTAACTACATAACATAATACCAATGAATCTAAGGCTACATGTGCACTTCACCTCCCTTGGACGCCGAGCTCTCCTGGCCTCCTAAAAACACGGCAAAAACGTATGTAAACACAGTACCGCATTAACCCACATTTAGACCTTGGGTCTTTATTCGTTTCATTGGCCAGAGTACTTTCCACTGAAATAAACGCCCAAGCACTATACACGGCCAGTACTTACATCTCTTTTTTTGGGCAAAATGTTCCTAAATGCAATTCTTCTGCGTTCAGGAGAGGGACGTTTAACTGCCCCTAAATGTTGCTGATGCTAAACTCTGATAATAAAAGCCTATGTGTCCATGCACACATAGGTGTTTAAGTCGAGTTTAGGGGCTTTGGCAAAACAAAACCACCAAAAGTTCCTAAACTCACGTTTAGAAGCAGCAATGTGCATGAGGCCTTAGGGAACCTGAAGAAACAGCCATTTTGCTGGAAAAAAAAATGTATATATATTACTGTATACTGATCAGGTCAGTCTTTTTTTAACCCTTTTTTTACTCCAGAGGAACCCTTGAAATCATATCAGGTCTTGGGGAACACCTGCTAAAACCAATTTATTGGAGAGCAAGTTGAAAAATAACCCGTACATTGGTGGCAACTGGGAAGAATGTCCTCCCTTCATACTGGCGGCCAGTAGGAAGGGGTGTCCTCCCTTCATACTGTCGGCCAGTGGGAAGGGGTGTCCTCCCTTCATACTGGCGGCCAGTGGGAAGGGGTGTCCTCCCTTCATACTGGCGGCCAGTGGGAAGGGGTGTCCTCCCTTACACTGGCCGCCAGTGGGAAGGGGTGTCCTCCCTTACACTGGCCGCCAGTGGGAAGGGGTGTCCTCCCTTACACTGGCCGCCAGTGGAAAGGGGTGTCCTCCCTTACACTGGCCGCCAGTGGAAAGGGGTGTCCTCCCTTACACTGGCCGCCAGTGGAAAGGGGTGTCCTCCCTTACACTGGCCGCCAGTGGAAAGGGGTGTCCTCCCTTACACTGGCCGCCAGTGGAAAGGGGTGTCCTCCCTTACACTGGCCGCCAGTGGAAAGGGGTGTCCTCCCTTACACTGGCCGCCAGTGGGAAGGGGTGTCCTCCCTTACACTGGCCGCCAGTGGGAAGGGGTGTCCTCCCTTACACTGGCCGCCAGTGGGAAGGGGTGTCCTCCCTTACACTGGCCGCCAGTGGGAAGGGGTGTCCTCCCTTACACTGGCCGCCAGTGGGAAGGGGTGTCCTCCCTTACACTGGCCGCCAGTGGGAAGGGGTGTCCTCCCTTACACTGGCCGCCAGTGGGAAGGGGTGTCCTCCCTTACACTGGCCGCCAGTGGGAAGGGGTGTCCTCCCTTACACTGGCCGCCAGTGGGAAGGGGTGTCCTCCCTTACACTGGCCGCCAGTGGGAAGGGGTGTCCTCCCTTACACTGGCCGCCAGTGGGAAGGGGTGTCCTCCCTTACACTGGCCGCCAGTGGGAAGGGGTGTCCTCCCTTACACTGGCCGCCAGTGGGAAGGGGTGTCCTCCCTTACACTGGCCGCCAGTGGGAAGGAGTGTTCTCCCTTACACTGGCGGCCAGTGGGAAGGAGTGTTCTCCCTTACACTGGCGGCCAGTGGGAAGGGATGTTCTCCATTACACTGGAAGCCAGTGGGAAGGAGTGTTCTCCCTTACACTGGCGGCCGGTGGGACGGATGTCCTCCCTTATACTGGTGGCCATAGGAAAGGATGCCCTAACTTACAGTGTTGGCCAGAGGGAAGGGTGTCCTGCCTCACACTGGTGGCCAGTGGGAAGGATTCCCTCCCTTACACTGGTGAACAGTGGTGGTCTCAATGCCCCCTTTCACGACAGACAGAAAGATCATAGACGTCATACCTCCACCTCTGCCAAGTACATGGTAGGTCATTCAGCTACAGCTCAAGGAACCCCTAGCAACCTCTGGAGGAACCCTGGTTGAGAAAGGTTGGTTTAGGTGTTCACTGACTATGGCCATAACAGACATGTCAAAGAGGTAAAGCCCAACTAAACTTTCAGTTTAAATCACCTAAATACATTTCAGGTGCAGCAAAACCAAAATGGTGTACAAAGTGTGACTTTTTTTTTTTTTAGAAAGCAGTCACAGGATACTTATTTTACAAAATGACAGTTATTTGTCAGCTATGTCCAATGAGATTTGTAAATTATAGACACATAATTAAATTGTAGATCTTTACCTGTGTGTTAAATCTTTGTGATTTGAGCCTATTATTGTATAATGGGTGTTTACCACCAAGATGAGCCAGTCAAGACAAAAACATACATATAGGATGCCATTTTGTCCTAGAAGAAAAATCTCTACATTGGTTGTAAAAATCCCAAATGCAATGGCTGAAATTAAAACAGTAACCGTACTGATGCTGTTGTATGCTGGTCACCTCTAGGGTATATATCCGGTAACCAGACAGAGGAACGGCAGCAGAAATAGCAGAATGCTCACTGGTGGTTCTATGTATTAACACGATTAAGCTGTTGTGTATTTTGGATTATGCTGCTGCTATTTTATTTGTCTATTCAGTCATCGTGATTTTTATACTGCACGCCTCATGTTTAGACCTAGTGGAATGTTTATTTTCCATCCTGCTAGGATATACACTGCTTCAAATATAGTTTAAAGGCCAAGGCCCCCATACAGGAGAAGTTTTACTGGTGACATCATGGCAGATGTCAAGATTAACCCATCCCATGACTTTCTCACAGCTGCTGGACATTTACTGCATATACACACCATCGTAAATTTACATCTCATTTGAAGACTGGTCCACCCCAAATTGTTCCTTTTTATTTGTACAGTGATTGTACTTTTTGAGGAACTTCAGAGAGGAGAGATCGTGAGCTTTCAGCTCCATTCATCTACATCCATTTTTTTTTAATTTAACCTTTTGGAGAAGGAAGGAGAAGCACTGGACTCCACTGGAGAGGTAGGGTGGCAGCACTGGTAAGGTACCCAGGAGATCAGTTTCTCGACAACCCAAAAAAAAACTTTGCTTGGACACACATCCAGACTTTTCCTGGGTCTAGCCTAGTGTTTTCTGCACGATGTATGTATCTAGACCATCAATACAAGATACCCAACCTGTCTCAGATTACCCCCTTCAGGCTACAAGACTACAACTATGGAAACTGGCAAGACATCTTGAGGAAAATTGTTGTGAGGCTTCCTCAAAGCCCAATTAAACGTTTCAGTTTAATCAGCTAAATACATTCTATGTGCATCAAAACAATAATGTGTGCATAGTTTTACAGTTAATTTTCTTCAGAAAGAAGCCACAGCCTGAGTAAAAAAGCCTGTCTACTCCCATTATACTACATAGAAGGACCCTTGCTCTGTGTGAAAGCAATGATCCCTCTGCAGAGGTCTGACACACTCCTTTGCCAAGTCAGAGCTGGAGCTCTCCAATCAGAAGAAGAGTGCTGATTGAAAAACTATAGCTGCGACGCAGCAGGGGGTGTTGCTGGACCTCTGCAGAGAGATCACTGCTTCCACACAGAGAGCAAATGTCCTTCTATGCATCTTGCTGGCAAGGCACATGCTTTTCTACACAGGCTGTGGCTGTTTTATTAGGTAAATAAAAATGTAAGACACCATTTGTTTTGATGTACCTAGAATGTATTAAGCATATTTAAACTGAAAGCTCAAATGGGCTTTAAGGTAACCATGACATGGTCTAAAACATTTAGAAGCAACATATTCCCCCAACAACAGACATCAAAAGGAGTTTAAACATACTTTTAGTAGATTGTAAGCTCCAAGGAGCAGGGCCTTCCTAACCTCCTTGTATTGAACTGTATTGTTGCTGTATTGTCTCCCGTTATATTGTAAAGCGCTGAGCAAACTGTTGGCTCCATATAAATCCTGTATAATAATAATAATACCGAGCAAAATACCTTTCTTTGTATTCATGAAACCACCAGAACCCCACCATACATTTTATACAGGCCTCACCCAACTCTAGCTTCAAGCCAAGAATCAGGCTTTCCCCTCAACTGGCATCTTAGAAGTCAAGATGGGCTCCTTTCTACTGGTGGTTGAGGTCACTGCATTTAATGGTGGGCTGCCAATGGGTAGGCAAAAGCTTGGAGTGGTATTACCTTGCCAGGTTGTGAGCAACATCTAATGTTATAAGCACCACAGAGTTTGGACACATCTTCTTAGTCCAAGCTGGAAAGTGCCAGACTTCCAGGGTAATAAGCTACTATGCTGCAAACACAAGCACCGAGCCAGGTATTTGCTGCACGGTATAATGCACTACTGAGTGCAAGTTACAGGCAACACTGACAATGTAAACTTTTCTCTTTGAATGTCTTTCCCAGATGGAGCAACCTGCCAAGAGAACTTCAGAAAGAACAGTGACACAAGTGTGTTGCATGAGTACATTGCCTAAAGATAAGCAATAACACTCAAAAAACATTTGTACTACTAAACTGTAATAATAGATACTACAAATAAAAACAAAATGGTGAAACCTCTGTTTGCTCTTTTGATTCATTGGAACAGCATAACTTAGACCAACAGGTACTAAACAATTGCTGAGAGACAGCCGATATTCACATTGAAGATCATTTTGAGCCACATGTGCCTCCCAAGTCACTGGTCAGGGAACATTGCTTAAACAGACATTTTTCCTTCATGTAATATATCTGTAAAAAATGTTAACATACCACTAACAAAATCAAACAAAATGATTTAGAACATACACTAAAGCAAAAACACAAACCACTAATATATAGTTAAAGGGCTTGTCTATTTCTATGGATCAAATTTTCAGTTTCAAGCAAGGAGGATCTAACTCAAACACCAAGTGATTCATCATCGAACGGAGAAGGCACCAAGCTTCATAAATCAGTGAAGGTGAGATTAAAAAAAAAAAAAAAAAATAGCGCTTGTTCCTTAAGTTCTTTGTTATAGCAGAGCCTTGGTAATCCAATGTCTTAAGTGCCTCTCAGTGTTAGATGAGCACACATGATGTGCGCAGTGGACAGACATGCAGTGAGGTAGGGGTAGACAGAGACCATGCAATTATGTCATGCTCTATGGGTGACACAAAACCAACCATATAGAACAATACTGGGGAAGGGTGGAAAGGGAAGGTACAGGATGTGCACACCTGCAATGTGTGTCCTTCAAGCAAGTTAGAAAAGCAGAAGGCAGCCATGGGAGGTCAAAAGGCGGCTTTAGTAGACCAGCCACATTAGAAGTCAACTGGAAACACACCTCTGAGAACAGGAACACGGCTGACAGGTATTCCAGACCCATGTAGAGAGATTCTTTTTCTGGGGGCCACCACAGTCTCACTGCTAACTGGAGAAGGCTGTCCTTCAATTTCTTCACTAGGTGTGCCTGCAGCTTCACATGGTTCTGTTTTGTTCTCACCATCTATGGTTCTGTTGGCATCAACCTCGACTTGGTAAACAGACACAGAGGGCCGTGGGCGAGGGAGCATCAACTGGTCTTCTGCAGAGAAAGTACCAGCTGCTAAGTCAACATATGGCTTCTCTGCTCCATCCTCTTGTTTATGATTCAACTCAGTGAAAACAGGACCATCAAGCAGCTTGTTGGCATCAACTGCCGTAAAGCTTTCAACCACAAGACCATTTGTCTGCGGCTCTAGAGGCAGAGGTGACTCTTCCCCAATGTCTTGAGAAGATACAATGTCCTGCTCCACTTCTCCACCTTCCTCACTGCGCTCCTCCCATGAGATGTGGTTGCCTTCATAATCATCTTGATCATACTCTTTACCATTAGTTCCCCTGGATAAGTCATGTAGTTTTTCTTGTCTTTCTAAAGGTTCTGCAACTTCACTACTTATGGCAGTCCACCCTGAATTGATATCTTCATATGTGTCCCCAGTAACAACGCAGAAATCTTCTGGGTGTGTTTCCTTCTGTGGCCAATCGGACGTTTCAGAAATGTCCGCCACTTCCTGTTGCGTTTCGGTTTCTGGAGTGCTGCCAGAAAGCTCCTGTGCCAGCTCCTGTGCCAGCTCCTGTGCCTCGGTCTCCCCTGTGGCTGCTGAGGGTTTAATTTCTATGGTTTGGGTACAAATGGCAAGTTTGATGCAGTAAAATGAAACATGTAATGAATGTGTGTCAATGACTGCTATACAAATATCAAAAAAATGACTAACTCAGGGCTGGCTACATTTTCAATAGGAACTATACAGCCAATGTGCATAAAACATTATACATGGCACCAATCTGTCCAACCCCGATCTATCATACTCAAATGTGAAGATGAAAATGAAAGGGGTCAAGTGCCTAACAAACTACAAATATTGTGTTACAGATGCTATACATTTACATACACCAAGTTCATGTACAGTATAATAGACATATTCCCTTTGAGGGAATAAAAATGACAAACCCCATTCTGAGACCCCTTTCATATTAAGAAACACAGAGTGGTCCTCAATTGCTCCAGTCAAACTTTGGACATCAGAGCCCCTCTTCTATTTACAATGCATCCTATTCTGATTACACATAAGTGATGCAAGAGGGAGAGGACAGCTCTGTGTTTCGGTCACCAATTACAGATAACCATTGGACCATAATAATAATAAAAAACAGTCATAAACAAATAAATTAGAGGAATAGGACTGCACTTCTAGTGTTCGACTTTGGTAAAAGAGGAGTGCTCATAGTGACAGTATTGGGATGGTGCCATGCGAACCATAGTGAAAAGATGAGCCACTGCCAGCACTCCGCTGCAAACATATACATGTTGGCTTACTTTGACTGATGTTATATTCCACCAATAAAATGATATACTGTACGTTTGCAGTGGAATGCTTGAGACGTCTCATTTAAAAGGCAGCATACAAAACGGTTGTAACCGCAGACACATCGTTTCTGTGGGATGTGGTTCCTAGCAACCAATCAGAAATCAGGGGTGATCAATCTGCTTACTAATCAATAAACAAAACTGCTACCTGTTTAAAACCCACAGTTGCCTTCAATCACATTTTGGTAAAATATATAGCCCTATTACATAATATTCAGCAGCATATCTATTAATACTGCAAGGAGTGCCAACTGCAGTAACCTATCAATATTCAGTTTACTCAGGTTACCAGTACGAAATGGTTTCTGATTGGTTACAGACCATGTCCTTGTTTTTTTTTCTAGATTGTAGGGAGCAACCAATCAGCCTTCAGGTCACTGAAGAGATTAACTGTGGTTTGTACGAGTTCTGTTGTGGTTATGCAATTTCATATGCACAGCGCACATACTGGGTATATCTCCAACAGAGTCATCCTTGGATGTTCTCCATTGGTGAGAAAAGGTGAAGATGACCAATATTCTCTAGATGACCAATTTTTCTCTAACAACTCCTTTGCGCAAGATCAGACAGTGTATAGTCCCCCATAAGTAGCTGTATAATGAACACACGCCAGCGACTGTACCTTTTTCTGCATCCCCTGCAGCCTGGTCTTCTTGGCTGGGGGTCTCTCCAACACCAGCTTCTTCTGCTGCAGGACATAAACAGAAGTTCAAGTAAATGGTTCTAGGTGCCCATTAGCTGGACGCACCAAGATTAAAGCAGGCTGTGCTGATAAGGGTCAAACGTGCTGAAGAAGGCAGGCTGGTGAGCACCTTGAAAGCGAGATACTCATTATGAAAGATTTCAGCAGAAAGCAAACGGCTGAGTGCCATACTTAGCTGGGGCAATTCTGGTGACCTAGCACAGCTGTGTGACCAGACCTCAGCAGGGACAGAAATTAAAGTGTAACGTGCTACCAGAAAAGTGCTGCTAGAATTGGTGCAAGAGTACGGAGAGACGGGTTGGAATAGTAAAGAAGGAATCAAAGATACAGAAAAGAAGCCCATTCCAGAAGAAGAAAATGCTGAAAGCGGTCAAGCACAGTGTGCAGAAGAAGCAAGATCAGGTTTAAAGGACGTGAGTGGGTAGACAGGACGACTTATCGGCAAAGGCGATAGAAGGTGGCAAAGTGAAGCAGTTCAGGGCTGCAGTAAAAGAAGGCTAAGGATCAAGAAGAATGTATTTTTAATAGTTTTAAAAATGTGTTAGTAGGGAGAGACTGCTCTAGGCTGAAAAACATGTATTCTATTTCTCAACATTATACCTAAAGTCAAAAAACTTTCTTTTTTAGTTTTGGATAGAGTAGGGAAGGGTTAATGTGGAGATTTTCCTTCAGTTCTTGACCCAGAGACACTACAGATGTGAGAGGAAATCCTCACTTACACGTCACCACAACAAGCGTTGGAAGATTTGCACTCTATTCCTGTTCCAGTGACAACCCAAAATTTTGGATTTACTCATCATTTTCTGTCCCCTTTCCAGTATTCACCAAAACAAGAAGAGAGGGGAAATCTCCTGAGCAGGGAGTAATAAAACCTGAGAGATTTGCCAACCATTTCACACTCTATCCAAAAATGAACAAGAAAAAAGTCATCACCTCCTGTGCCTCACTATTGGTCACAGTAAGGTTGTCCATCAAATCATCAGCAGATAGCAAGAAACCAAAAAGGGGTCTATGTGTGTGTGAAGTCATTTTTTGCATAATGTTGCATAGTTTTTCATTATCGGCAAAGTATATCTGCTGGCGTTTTAGCTCAGGGATCAGTTGAATACTTAAAATTGTAAAAATGTTTTTAAAACTTGATAGTCCTTTTCAATACTTAAAAAACACAAATATGTAAGTAGTTACAATAAAAATTAAATTTAAAGAAATTTAAAAAATACATCATATATACACAGTATATATATATATATATATATATATATATATATATATATATATATATATATATATATATAGTAATTTTCAATATTTAAAAACCTGAAAATATTTAAGTCATTAAAATTATTATACAAAATTATATCATTAAATTATTTATATAATTACAAATATTTAAAAATGGAAAAATATTTAAAAATTGATAGCAATTTTAATATTTTTTTTTTTTAAATTGAAGCTTTTCATTAAATAATGCCTAGTAATACTGCCATGAGGGATCATGTTCAGGCACGTCTTGTGATAGGATGACAACGTTCTGTTTTTGTCTCCCAATTGCACTCCTGCATTGTCACCCTATTACACGTGCTCCTATTGGAGACTATTTAGTGGATTGGGGAAATCAGAGGCTGCAATCATCCCAATATTGTATTACGCTGATCCATGCTGATTTCTTTTTGGGTTTGACTATGCATCATCATGGCTGTGTTTTCACTCTAATTGATTGTCGGTAAAATTTAGTACATTTTGTCTTTTTACCATATTCTTTTAATCTCATTTGGAATAAACTATAATTTTTTTATACAATTTATGATAAGATATTCTGCTGCACTTATTCTGCAGGTAGTCCCTACCTATAGAGGGTTTATTTTCATCTATTGAAGACTAAGCATCTTTTCCAATGATTACACCGAAAGCATGTACCACCATTGACAGCATCAGGAAGCCCACTGTGAGTGGTGGCATGCAACTGCTGCTGAAGCAAATGTATATAGATAGAAGTGGCCGCGCAGAGTGTCTGAAGCAGATCAGCAGCATGACGATACAAAAAAGTATGAAATAAAAAAGGTAAAACAAAAGTATTTTTTTTTTTAAAAAAGAAAATGAATGTGGTAATTGTTAGTAAGGGTTAAGATCTACTTAAATACAATAGAGACTCACTTATAAGAGGAATTCCTAGCAAGAAAAAAAAGTATGTAATTGTATTACATTGCAATTGAGCTTTTCATTCAGCAAATAATAATCTGCTTTTTAACAAATATTTGATCCAAAACCAGCTTTTATTGCATGAATTGGAAGCATGCCCTTGCAAGGATTTAGAGCAGCAGAGCAAAGCAAAGAATAGCCACACGTGCCAAAGTCAGAGGGACATGGCGCTCCCGAACACGACCTTGGCAAATTAGCGGTTAACTTGGCCAACATCTGCCTTACCAGTGGTAGCCTCAGGGATCTCTGTGTGACCCTGTTCTTTTAGTGCTTCTCCATTGGCTAGATCCTCCTCTAGCACTGTGGCCCCGTCTGTAAGAGGATGATAAGACAGCAGGCGTTAAGTGTCAGCCGAGCAATAATCCTAAAATATGCGGAACGTCCCGTTATAAGCCTTTGCAAGTCTGCGCAGTTATCTTGTCGCCAGCTTTCACCGACCGTCAGACAAGGTTCTAATTTGACAGGATTTGTTCCCAACAATGGGGATTACTTATATACAAAGTGTAAAAGTGACAATACTCATAGTCCTGTAGCACATAATGACACGATAAAAGCCTCTCTTTTGATATGTATTATCCGTTATGCCAGGCACAGGCCATATGTGGTGGTTTGATGATGGGAGATGACCTTACCTTCCTTCCATTTACCATTTCCATTTCTTTCGAGTCCTCTACATTCAGATCTCATCTTATAATGTGGCAAGAGAACACTAGCTAAAAAATTCCAACACAGCACTGTTGATGGTACCTGCCCTAATCTTGGGTACCTCAAAATCAGTCTCCATATGGTCTGCTCTTGCCAGCTGTTTATGACACCAATATTTAGTCTGTGGGTGCAATTTCACAACTCTCTGCATATCAGGTCCGCAGTGGTATTTCGATTGAGCTGTAATGTGGCAAGCGTGGCAATTACATTTTTCGTAACCTTTGTGTATTGATGCCGCATTCCACTGCCCATGTTGTACGGTGTTTACTGTTTATTCTCAATACTATACTTGGGTACCCATTAGGAGTCAAGAACATGGTAGGCAAACGTCTGGGATAGGTAGGCCATTTTTGACAAGCCAGCCTGACTCAGACTTGATGCTCGCCAATGATCACCTCTGGTTTTCTAGATTTGTTTTTATTTTACAAACATTGCTGCCAACCTGTATCTCACTATGGTCCACTAAGTTTTGTTTAGCAGTTATCTGACCTAACATCCATGGAATGTAAAGCTTCCTCTACAATGAGAGGTTGTTTAATCTTGATTATTACAATGAAGACCATATTACTATTAGACGTGATCCTGACGTGGCCTTAAAACAGTGCTGGTTCCTTTTGGTTCCTGCAAGTACCTTTGTTAGTCTTGAGACCGATTCCTGCACATCTCTGTAGGCCCAGGTTGTAAATGGGGGTCACATCATCTTCCAAATTGGCATTAGACCATTCCCACTCCCAATGCTACCCCCCTTCCCCCCCCATGAGTCACTTGACAAGTATCAGGACTTCGGTGGGCATTAGTGTCAAGGCACCATTTTTAACCTAGGCCTAGGCTCCAAGGAGGAAGAGATGGATATGAAGGCTAACAGATTAGTACCTTAAAAAAAACAAAAAAAAAAAAACTTTAGGTTAGGTCCACTTTATTTTTTTGTACTTTATATTTCGAGCACTAATATAAGAGTGGAGAATGGTACAAATTTAGCAATACAGCTGAATGTTAAACTTTAAAGATGGTCTCCCCCAAATCTGAGCCCAAGTGGTCTTGGCTGCCCATTCCGATCACGTGTTCCACTTTAACTTGAAGTGGGCAATATGGGAGACTATAACTATAAAGCACAATACTAGATACAATGTCAAATCCTTCTCCAAATATATATCTGAGAATATTTAGAAACACATTCAGCTATCACAACCCATCCGCCACTGACACTAGACCTAGTAGCTGCAGAGATGCATGCAGTCGCTGTGCCAGCTCCTACCCTTCTTCCTGTCCAGTCACACAGCACTGTGTATTATGCAAACTCATTCACAGAATATAAAGGCTTCTGTGAATGGGCAGCAGAAGAGAAGGGCGGGCAGAGATGCTGTGTATGAAAAGACAGCATCTCTCCTGTGAGGGGACCAGGGTGTAGTGAAGGCTATCTTCCCAGAGCTCCCTGAAACTGTCAGATATAAATTAAGGAGATAAGCCCAGGGGTGTCATGGACCATTTTACAAAGTGACTGACTTTCTGGAGTTCAGCTTTAAAGCCCAGCTGAAGTTTTTTTTTTTTTTTTTTTTCCTCTGTACAACATTGCATTGGATGTTGTTTTTCTTGATAGGTCTTCAAATACCTTTTTCACATACTGCAAATATGCTTCCTTTTATGCAGGCAGAGCCCCAACCCTTCTCACAATTGTCCTAAAGCAGACAGTAGTACAGAGGAAGAGGGGAGCTGTGTCTGACCAGGCCTGTTAGATTATGGAGTGCACCTGGGTATTGTGGGTGGGCAGGAAATGTGTGGAATGTCCTGTGTTCTCCAGTTTTTGGTTTGCTTGCATGATACACAATACATGCTACATGTCAGAGAAGAAGATCTTTTAGGGTTGGATATTTTACAATTGAATAAATGTATAATGATTTTCATACAAAGGTTAGTTGAGTTACCCCAATGTTCCCGCAAGGAACTGAAGAATATGTGCCTGTTACCATCTCTCTTCTGGATTTGGCTCAGCCCTAGTAACGGAGAGGGTGAGAACTACATGGAATGTCGATGCATCCGGTCCTGCTCTGAAATGTGACCCTGATTCCAAGGAAGGTTCATGAAATAGGTTATTGGGATATTAAAACTAGCAGAGTATGGAGCGCCATGACCGAAACAGCAAGCATGCTTTTTCTGCTTGACCTAATAAGATCATTTTAGACTATACATAGGCTGCAGATTTGCACTAATTATTCCACGGATGTACACTGAAGCAGGTTCCCCTAGTTATTACCGTACAGTAATAGCAGAGCTATAACAGAAATCACAGAACAACAATTATGTTGTCAAATGTCACAGCTGCTTGTGAATGCAGGGTACTGCCTTCATTTTACAGCATGGGGAGATTACAATTTATAAACTGACTTGTTTTCTGTTCAATTTGTTGTATTAAGCAGCCCTTAAATGGATCGGTTGTTTCGTTAAACCGGCGAGTTAAAAAAACAGACCCGATTTCCCCATCCACACATTCAAGGTGAATGAGGGAATCCTCCCCGCTGAGCTACTGTATTCTGACAGCAGGGAACCCTCCCCTCTGCCAGAATACACTGATTAAGCATCCCTTTAAATGGATCGGTTGTTTCGTTCAACCAGCGAGTTAAAAAAAAAACAGACCCGATTTCCCCATCCACGTATTCAAGGTGAATGAGGGAATCCTCCCCCGCTGAGCTACTGTATTCTCCCCACTGTCAGAATACACTGATCCGTGCTGAAGGCTATAGCCTGCAGTGCTGATCAGTGGAGGGTTAAATCTGATCCAGCAGAAGAGAAACAAAAGTCTGCGGCAAATACAACCCCAGAGGTGTTATCGGAGTAACCCAACAAGCGGGGAAAAAGAAGACAGGGTGGTTGTACATAAGTCAATGGGTAGATCAACTTCAGTACAACCTCCCTACCCTTACATGGATCAACGTTCAGCCATTCACTGCTGAACTAGTCGGATTCCGATCCATACCCATGAATGGCTAGCTTAAACCTTTGAAGATCTAAGCCCCATTCACATTTGCAAATGGGGCCGTTTGCAATTAGCTGTGGGAGACCCAGCAGGGGTTCCCAGGGGTTTAATTGCAGGAGGGATGATGACAGCTCTTGCAGCTTCCAATGTGTTGATCATTCGCAGGTGACTGCTGCTTAAATGATTACATGCAAACGGTCAGAAATAGCTGCAGGAGCTGTCAGCCTGCCAGGGAGTCTGTACCTCAGGTACTTCATGGCCGTAATAGAAATTCACAGACAACTGCAAAAACTACAGACTTTTACAAACGATCTGTGAATTTACAGGTGGTTCGCAGCCCTGCTTCCATTGTTTTCAATGGATCCTCTGCCTGCAGCCAATCGCAGGGAACACCCGCTGGATCTCCCACAGCTAATCGCAAAAATCCCCATTTACAATTTTCATCTGTCCATGTCTATGTGTATCTGTGGGTTGTGGGTCACCTCAATGCAGTAGCAGCCTTTTCCCTAGGTTAATGAAAAAAAAAATAAAAAAAAAAAAAATAGTGCAGAACATGATCTAGAAAGGGAGTGGAAGTTTTGGGATTAAATTTGGATAGTCTCTGGACATATACTTTAACCATAAAAGTAGAAATTTGCCTTAAATATCACCCTAGAACACATAACATTGCATTCATCCAGATGGGGGTGCTTCCACTTTTAATAGGCTATTAAACAGTCACAACCACCATTAACAGTAGAACTATATGCAAAAAAACCATTTGTTTCTATTTGGAAAGCGTAAGGGAGGGTTATAACCCTTGTCAGTTTTGTATGCCATCTGTGTCCCATTTGGAGGGGGGATTAATCTTCACTTCTTGTCCCATAGCCAAAACAGGAAGGAAGAGGAAAATCCCTGCAAATGAAGGGATCCTCAGGTCACCAGGACTAGTGTTCCCATTGGAAGATTTCCCTTCTATTACTGTTCTAGGGACAACCCAAAAATGTGCGATTTTCATTTACTGTCAATTTCAATGATAATGGTAAACAGTACAAAATAGAGAGAATGAATCTCCCTAATGGGGGCACAGATGACAAAACTGACAGGTGTTCTAATCCCTCGCCACTCTATCCAAACCTAAAAAAAGTTTTGCCTTTAATTATACTTTAACCACTTCAGGTCCGGACACTTTTACCCCCTTCCTGTCCAGGCCAATTTTCAGCTTTCAGTGGTCATGCAACACTGTACCCATATGAATTTGTTAGCATTTTTTGAGACAGATAAAACTTTATTTTGGTGGTATTTATTCACCGCTGGGATTTTTATTATTTTGCTATATAAAATGAAAAAGTCCAAACATTTTGAAAAAAAAAAAAAAAAAGTGTTTTTCTTATAAAATTTTGCAAATAAATAATCTTTCTTTATAAATCTTGGCCAAAATGTATTCATCTACCTTTTTAGTGAAAAAAAAACCCAATAAATTAGTTTATAACCAAAAATTATAATTTTTCAAAGTTCTGTTTTACATTTTTATTTTTTTTTATATTATTATTTATGTTTTTTTATATACTGTTACCCTAACAGTACAGTGTCACCATAGTAACACTGTACTACTTGTGGGGGGTGATGAAGATTTTTTTTTCTTTTTTTACACCGATTGCTTTTACACCCATAAAGGCTGTAAAAGCAATCATTTCTCCTTCTCTCTGGCTGCATTCTTGCAGCCATTGAGAAATACTGTGTGAGCTGTGATTGGTCACAGCTTGTCACATGGTACAGGGCTGTTGTGAATAGCTCGGTACTATGTGACCTCTCTGATCATTCACAGATTTCACAAGTAGTAAGCAATGATGTCAGGAAGTGACATCTTGTGTACTACTATTCATGTGATCACTGATTGGCCAATCAGTGATCACATGAATCAAGACCTCACACAGAGGTCCAGAGGACACAGCGAGTGCCGATCGCGGTGCCGCGCACTCCCAGGGAGCGTTCACAGGCAATGGATGCAAGGGGACTTTTAGAAACGTCCACCCGCTCCGGCATCTCTCCGGTCCGACTGTTTATGTACATGGGCTGGACGGGAAGTGGTTAAATTCAGCATCGGAATCAGTTTAAACATCGGTATGCTGAACCATTCCAAAGATTCCAGCAAAAAGCTTGACAATTTGATGGCCATACAGAGGTCACTGGGAAACAAACCAATGGGTGATTAGGGGTAATTAACCCTCCTTTTTCAACCACTCACTTAGTATGCAACTTCTTTATCTTGCATTCCTTGCCTATGTTCTATACGCTGTCATGACTGCTCTAGTTTTAGGGTGGTTGCTTTCTTTTGCATCATCCTATGGAGTCACCCTTCCATGCAGGGACTAGAGTTGCCTCCCTACACTCTGTACATCAATAGAAACACACAGCTCCATAGCCTAGGATGGCAAGGCACTCCCCTGCTCCTCTCTTCTCAAAGTTAATAGGCTTGTTGCAGACTGACATTGTTCTGTGAAGACCGGAAGTTCAGGGAAGCAGGAGCTAGCAGCATTGAAAGTTGTAAGCTGCAAGTGCTGGGGGAAGAATTTTAACAATTTTTTAAAAGTTTACTAGGGAATGTTCATTTTATTGTGTTCAGTATAATATATAAACGAAGAACGGCTGAGAGTTTAATACTACTCTTACACTATACAGAGACTATATAGAATGATTGGTTATAGGGATTATTTGTATATACACATCCCTTCTATACTGTATTTTGAGATATATATATATATATATATATAGAGAGAGAGAGAGAGAGAGAGAGAGAGAGAGAGAGAGAGAGAGAGAGAGAGAGAGAGAGAGAGACAGACACAGACAGACAGACACACTACCCACAAACTTCAAGGTGTCTGTCCCCCCCAGAAAACAATCAATACAGCACAATATCACTTAAAATAAAAAACTGTGGTATAACATTTACTTCCCAGGAGGCACAAAACTCTGGAAACAAACCATGAAAACCCTTCTGGTCAATAATGGGAGGCTGAAAATTAAATACAGATGGTAAGAATAAACTGTATGAACAGCTGCTGAAATGGATTTATGTTCCTGTAAAGAAGAAAATGGTTTATTACTGTGAAAACTGGGAAAGTATTCTATATACTAGAAGAACTCCAGGCAAAGCAAAATCACCCCTTAATTAAATGAAAAAAATATTAACAGGTGCTGAGCAATCCGAATTCCCACTCAGGGGCGGACTGACAACTTATGGGGCCCCCGGGAAATAGGGGATCATGGGGCCCCTGTGTCCTCGCCCACACTCAAACCACACCCAAAAAAGCCTATGAAAAGGTATCAGGGGCATCTCATGGGGCCCCTTACTGACCCCAGGCCCTCGGGCAGTGCCCAAGTTTCCGGAATGGTCAGTCCGCCCCCGTTTCCACTAAAGTCTTTCACCAGCTGAACACAATAGGAAATCAAATGGCATCCTTTATCCTGGCCTAATCAGCACACTGGGATGGGGAGGTAGCCATAGAAGCAGATTCTGGCAGATAGGCGAGTATCAGAATTATGATTTTGGGAAAGTTGAGGAGAGGGTATTGAACACTGATCATGGAGGATGCTGGTAGCTGTAAAAGAAGGATAGGCCATTTACAGGATATGGGCTATAAAAAGGTAAAATCCTGAAATGTCTTTTGCCTGGAGTCCCGCTTTAATTTCACAAGTACTCTCTAGGTCTATCATTGATTCTATTATATACGGCTTCTCTACTACGGCTGTCACCTACTTTTATACTGAACATCTTACCTGGCAAACTACAGTCATAAGGCTCCAACAGGCTCACACAATCATACAGTTCCTCAATGCCAGCAAGAGGGGCCATTGGGATTCGGTTATGTGTAGGGGGAGGTGGTGAGCAGCAAAGCAGTGCTGCCACACAAACAGGGGGCGCCAGCAAAATGGAAATGAAACAAGACATGTTTAGGTATAAGAAATCTATGAGAATAGGGTGAAAAGGGATACAAATGTTTAATAGTGGCACCTAAACAAAAACAGCAGTGGAAAAGGACAACCAAACCCCCCATTTTAAGAGTCATTTGAAGCAAAAATCAATAGATAGATGGATAGATTTATCTCCAGAAATATTTCGATCTCCGTTTTGTGATTCATGCACCCCTGCTACACTCCGGAGCCAGGTGGGTGACACCATTTTTTCTACTACAGTGAAGGAATACAGTGGTGTCACCTCTTTGCCCCTAACATGCCCACTGGTCAAGTAAGGAGAAGCAGCGCCCAGATAAAATCATCCCTGCACAATCTCTTCCTGCATCATTCTGATGTTAGACTGATAGCACTGGGTAGGGCAAAAGAGCCCAATTGCAGTTTTACAGGCCAGATCCATCTTTAAAAACTTTGTTGACTGCAGATTGAAAACCAAAAAAAAAAAGGTGATCACAAATGTCTTACAAATAAAAGGTATATTGTCTGATAGCTTCTACAAGTGTGGACAGTCACACTTATTGTCCCCTAACCCCAAGATCTTAACTTACCACCTCCATGTTGTAATGCAGATGGAAGCCGGATGACACCCTCCTGGCCATGGGCAGCATTGTCTATGGCAGACCCTCCTGAGCCGACCTCATGATGGGACCCGTCAGCAGCAACATGGTCCCCCACTGCATTGTAGTCCTGGTAATGATCAGACATCCTGGAGCAAGGTCAACCTGTGAGAGAGATATTCTTGTTAATGTAGAGTTACGCAACATCACCTAACACAGTGACTGCATCCAAGTAGTGGCGCACTACCAGCACAGTCAACCAGGAGGCACTGTGATCATATAAACAATATTCAGAATTTCATTGCTTGACAGAAGCTGGCATCAGGAAAATCTCAAAGATGCTAATGTGCTTCTATACGCAATGGTTCCTTTCCCCGCAGGGGATTGTCAATTTTGGTGCACTGCCAAAGAGCAGAAGGAGTACAATGACTGTGCTAGGATAGACAGCGCAGACAGGAAACACTCGCAGCGTCTGCAGAACCTAACAGCCATCACACTTATTAATGTGGACACTTTCGTTATGATTGGTTTATAAGCTGCAGATTCATTCAGCAACTCTGATCAAGGTTACGAATCCTGGAACTGACCCAACAAAAAAAAAAAAAAAAAAAAAAAAAAAAAAAAAAAAAAAAGCCACACTTTTATAGGAGACCAACAGCCTGGACCTCATGGGAGGAACTGTCAAAAACGGAGGACACCAGTTCTTCCAGTCATACATAGGAAGCATAAAACAGATTTGGACCGAATGATATACAGACAGGTCTTTACACTTTAAATCATAGGTGTCAAACTGGTGGCCCTCTAGTTGTTGCCAAACTACAAGTCCCATGAGGCATTGCAAGATTGACAGTTACAAGCATGACTCCCAAAAGCAGAGGCATGATGGGACTTGGCAACAACTGGAGAGCCACCAGTTTGACATCCTTGCTCTAAAAGGATCAATGATGCATTCTGTAATGATCAGTGTGTTCGGATCATTACCAGAAGTGTAATTGTATTAGAAGAGCTCCATGCTTAAAATGAACAATGAAATTATGACCATGAAGACACTAGGGGCATATATATATAAAGCAGTAAATGTGACTTTCACCAAATATTCACAGGTGATGAACCACTGTAATTTAAAAACACATGCACCTGGGAGATTCACTTGCAGTGAATCACATTTAGGTGAAATGTGGGTTTTGGCCACACAATTCACAATTCGGAAGGTTCATAACTTATTCCTCTCCAGTAGCATATACTTACCTATCTGTTCCTTCCCTGCCACTCTGTTCAGCCTCCAGAAGTGAAAGGAAACTCCTATCTAAGCTACGAGTACCTGGAGTCAGAGCTTCTATGGCATTATGGGGGTCCTGTGTCACTGGCTCACCCACATGCTACTCCCATACCCAGAAGTACCAGGTATCTCCTTCAAATCCCAAAGATGAACTGAGCGATGTGCTAGGAAGTCACGGACCTGCAACATCATGAACATATTGGTGAGAGCCCTTCTATGCATGCTTGTTTCAGGACAGTGATTCACCAGGATAAAGATAAAATACTTGGAACACCTTCATGTCCAAACACCAAGCAATGTTCAGTGGGGGGGGATTGATCACACAGCTTTAATCTCCAACATTTGTATGTATGGGGACCTAAGCAGAAATGTGTCCTTAGACATCAGGAAATTGGAGGTGTTGTCCACAGCAGACAATCACATTCCAGTTATATTTTTTATGGTCCAGGCAGGGGCAGACTGACAACTCATGGGGCCCCCGGGCAATAGGGGATCATGGGGCCCCTGTGTCCTTGCTCAAACTCAAAAAAGCCTATGAAAAAGGTACCAGGGGCATCTCATGGGGCCCCCTACTGACCCCGGAAAGTGCCAGAGTTTCCAAAAGGTCAGTCCGCCCCTGGGTCCAAGTTAGAAGGTAAGAGATCGGATTGGTTACCACAGGCAAGAAAGTATTCTGCCATCCAAGCCATATACAGTCCTGTACAGACACATCTCATACCATATACTGTACATTCATATACACAAACACATCACACATACATATCATATATACAGATATATTTCCAAAATAGTATTCAGGGAAGTCAGGGAAGAACTGTAACTAATACACAATGGACATGTACCAATATACTAACTGAAGCCCAACTAAAATCCATAAAGACATCCTGTACATCACAAAAAGTGATAACAAAAAGGCCGGTGTGATGGAGCGAGAAGCTTTAATGGGTCCCAAGGCTGAGACCGGATGACTCGAAGGAATTGTGGTAGGTCCCAAGCTTTATTCAGGATGGTCCCAGAAAAACAGAAACAGTTCCTGAGCTTGAGTCGGGATAGGACTTGAAGTACTGTACATGTAAATAGGTCCCACAACTGACTCTAGATGAACTCAAGAATTGGTGTGAACGTATGTGGAGGAAGTTGGGTCCCAAGCCTCAGTCCAGATTTCCAGAGGTAGTTGCAATGGGTCCCAAGTTTTTCTCCAGATGGGCCATGAGGTAGTTGCAGTGGGTTCCAAGCCTTGCTGCAAATGGGCCTGAAAGTAGTTGCAGTGGGTTCCAAGCCTTACTTCAGATGGGCCTGGGAGGTAATTGTAGCTGATCCCAAACCTCATTCCAGATGGGCCTGGAGGTAATTGTAGCGGATCCCAAACCTCATTCCAGATGGGCCTGGAGGTAATTGTAGCGGATCCCAAACCTCATTCCAGATGGGCCTGGAGGTAATTGTAGTGGATCCCAAACCTCATTCCAGATGGGCCTGGAGGTAATTGTTGATCCCAAACCTCATTCCAGATGGGCCTGGAGGTAATTGTAATGGATCCCAAACCTCATTCCAGATGGGCCTGGAGGTAATTGTAATGGATCCCAAACCTCATTCCAGATGGGCCTGGAGGTAATTGTAATGGATCCCAAACCTCATTCCAGATGGGCCTGGAGGTAATTGTAATGGATCCCAAACCTCATTCCAGATGGGCCTGGAGTTAATTGTAATGGATCCCAAACCTCATTCCAGATGGACTGGAGGTAAGTGTAGTGGATACCAAACCTCATTCCAGATGGGCCTGGAGGTAATTGTAGTGGATCCCAAACCCCATTCCAGATGGGCCTGGAGGTAATTGTAATGGATCCCAAACCTCATTCCAGATGGGCCTGGAGGTAATTGTAATGGATCCCAAACCTCATTCCAGATGGGACTGGAGGTAAGTGTAGTGGATCCCAAACCTCATTCCAGATGGTCCTGGAGGGAATTGTAATGGATCCCAAACCTCATTCCAGATGGGACCAGAGGTAATTGTAGTGGATCCCAAACCTCATTCCAGATGGGACCGGAGGTAATTGTAGTGGATCCCAAACCTCATTAGAGATGGGCCCAAAGATACAGGTATATGTGCACAAGGGAACTATTCTAGTGTCCTCAGTACTTGGGTTAGCCACCTGAATGTCAGCCTTATCAAAGATCTTCCAATAAACACGCAACTTGTTTTGGTTAAACTTCCTGCTTATGCAATAAACCGACTGTGCTGGAAGCAAAAGGGAAACTTTTCCAATGGGGATATAAACAGCAAAAGTGTTTTTTTTGTTTTTTTAACTAGTACAGAAATGTTCCTCAGACTCTGTAAATGTCAGAATCTGCATATGTGGGGGCCCTCAACTGCCAATATATAGCACTTATGATCTATAGTGACACTCCACAGAGCTGCCATACTTTAATACTTTAAAAAGGAAGGATGTTGATTTTATTTATAACATAATTAAATACAAAATGGCAGTGAAAAAGGACAAGAGGATGAGAGTATCTCATAACAGCATATACATTCCTCTTCAGTCTAGTATTTATAGAGCCCAGAGGATGATATTCATGAGTCACGTCTGTGCTGTAAATAATATGCCACTTCTCCGTGTGATTCTATTTATTGTCCACCGTTTTATTATTGTCGTCATGTGATTCAATTAGATGCCACTTGTCCATAAAAAAACCTGATTTGTGATCTGTTTGGAATCAGAGCTATAGATTTTAGAGTCACATAAAAGACTCATTCAGTAGGGCAATAATGAGGTGCAATAACACACCACAACCAATCAGGCTTCAATTTGCTGCAGCCAGACCAGTTAAGTTGTTTTTGATTGCTTGCCTTTGATTACTAGATATTAAACACAGTCAATGTGCCCGAAAGCCCAACTACAGGCAATATTTACTTTAAATGAGACCTAGTCAGTGTTTAAAATGCTTTCTAGCTACAATCCTCACCACCTCTCTGGCACCGTCCCTCTTCAGTGATCACATTTCACCACTAGATGCCTTCAGTCTTCTGGGTCCAGGATTGCTCGGTATCACTCAACCCGAAAGACTGAGGACATACTGTGAGTAAGGTATGTCGCCCTGCCTAGTGTATTGATGGAGAGTGGAGCAGACTCCATCACCTCACCACTACTCGAGGAACGGTCACTGCTGGGTTTCGAAAGGAAGAGGACCCTGCACGTCACATGACCAGAATTTAGATTTTGGAAAAGGGTAACTAAATAACAAAAAAAAAAAAAAAAAAAAAAAAAAACCCAGAACACCACATAACAAAAAGTGGGGTGCTCCCAGTGGTGTGCACCGATAGGTGGGAAGGGCTGAATCCAGAGTTGGGCTTTAAGCAGACCACACATACAAGTTCCAATCTGATGGTACAATCTCACTGAGGACCGGTCACTGCTGAGTTTCGTAGGAAGAGGACCCTGCACGTCACATGACCAGAATTTAGATTTTGGAAAAGGGTAACTAAATAACAAAAAAAAAAAAAAAAACCCCAAAAAACCCAGAACACCACATAACAAAAAGTGGGGTGCTCCCAGTGGTGTGCACCGATAGGTGGGAAGGGCTGAATCCAGAGTTGGGCTTTAAGCAGACCACACATACAAGTTCCAATCTGATGGTACAATCTCACTGAGTACCGGTCACTGCGGAGTTTCGTAGGAAGAGGACCCTGCACGTCACATGACCAGAATTTAGATTTTGGAAAAGGGTAACTAAATAATTAAAAAAAATAAAAAAAAAAAAAAAAAACAGAACAACACATAAAGTGGGGTGCTCCCAGTGGTGTGCACCGATAGGTGGGAAGGGCTGAACCCAGAGTTGGGCTTTAAGCAGACCACACACACAAGTTCCAA